CATATTTGAGTATTACTTTTACTATAGGTACTCATCCCTGATATAGACCATGAACAGACTATATTACAACTAAGTATATGTTCAGGCCAGGTAAGATGTCCAGCTGAATAAATCACCATATTTGAAATTTCAAGACTAGAAACAACACACAAATTTATTTTGTAACTGTCACTCAGTATTAGACTAGATTGTTTTAGAATCTAAAAGCTTGAGAGTACATGACTTGGGTTAATGACCTCTTCAGGTCTTAATGAATACCATAAAAAAATGACTTCTATTATTTGTTTTATACATATGGTTTCTGTAAAAGGCAGAATTCTCAGAGGCAACTTTAGACAAAAGTTCAAGGGGAACTCATCTTAAAAACAAGATGGCTTTCCCTTTTCTTCCTTGTATTTTGCTGTAGCCTTTCCCGCCCTCCCATCCTCCCCCCACTTCCTGGGGGCAAAAGCCTGTTATTTGATCAAAGATCAAGCAAATAGCAAAAACAAGTAGGAGTAACAAATTTCAGATAAAGATATAAAAGCCAGAAATCTTTCTGTTCCAGTACTGTGCAGAAGTTCACAGTTTTGACAACTTACCATGTTAGCTTCTGCTGTAGCTATTCGATTAAGAACTTTCATCATGTTTGTTGGTGCAACAGGCTTGAAACTGTTAAATTCCATTAAAAATGAATTAATTTCTGAATTCTCATTTATTTTAATAAATTTTTAATGAGACAGAAGATCTTACCTAATAATTGATATACACAACTCCTCTAGAATTTCTTTGGGGAATAGCAACCTCTGGTTGCTGTCTCCACTGAAGTTATCTGATATTATAAATATAAGAGGACATCTACTTGTACGTACAAATCTCCTAAAGTGAAAAATAAAAACATGTAAGAGGATTCAAATTCGATTCTAGTGCAAAGTGGCTAAGGCTAACGATTAAAAACTTATTTATAACTAACCTGAGAATTTCATGTAGACTGCTAGGGTCTCGATAGAATTGGTTTGGCATGTCCTATTCAAAACAAATTAACTGCTGTCATTACATTCAGGTGTAAATATTCTCTCCCGCAGACTGACTTAAGGCATGCTACATTGCTACATGGTTTTTGTTGCTAGTTAGCTTGGCTTCAACTGTAGCTGAAGCTGAAGACAACGGAGATAGGGAGGGTGAGGGGGGGTGAGCAAAGCATAACTTTATTTTTTTAAGGAAAAACAATTATCTAGGAGAAGCATTTTCTTTCTAATCTTGTTTCCTAAGGAACAGCCTTGGGTGACAACACTGCCTGCTAGAAAATTCTATTCAAAACACACAGATATACACAAAGTAGCAGCTAGACTGAAGAAGGCAAAACATACTATATCAGATATAAGAGGAGGTAGACAAGGAAGTGACTTTATGAACAGAGGTCATAGGAAACTACGTTTCCCAAGTTATATGGTAGACAACATTGCTCAGATAGAACTTCTCTCACTTCTATTCTTTTTCTTGAAAGTTCACAGGCTACTTTATTAATTTATGAAATCTTTCTGTCAGAAAACAATGAGAAATTCAGGAAGGATGTAGTAGTGCGATATATTCCTGAGTTTGTGAAAATAAAGCCTTTTCCTGGATCTCCCGTTATGGCTTATGAGAAAGGTAAATTTCAAATGCCTTATGATTTTATTAATTCCCATGCACTTCTATACTCTCCTGCATCCTCAGCTAACATGTAATTTTTACATATGCCTTTCTATACACAGAAATATTTCTATGAAGTGAAATACAGCATGATTTTCTCAGTATTGTTCCAGTCACTTTTTAAGTATCTATTACTTATTTCTGTATATGAATTAATGTGCAGATTCTGCCCAGCAATTATATCATACAGTTTAAGCACAGGTAAAACTTGGTTTCAGCCAGCTGTCGAGGCTGAAAAGTAATAAAGAAACTCGTGGGCAATAAAGCGCCAACATCAATCCTTCAGCAGCAGCTAGTTAGCATGTCAAGATTATTATGAAAGTTTTCACTTACTTCAATAAGAATAAGCTTTTTATCATTTTCTGAGGACTCCCCAAGCATCTGAAGTTTGTTATACTTATTTGCTCTTAATAGAAAATCCTGAAAAAGAGCTGCTTGGGCCTGACTTGGAAACGCATGAGAATTTGAGTCTGAAAAAGAAAACTAATTAAAAATTTGTATTCGATGTTACAGCAAGTAGAATACAAATACCCACAGGTACTAATACCCACCCATGCTACTTTCAGATAACAGCCATTGAACACCAACAGCAAAGTCTTTTGGCAAATATATTTCAAATAAAAGATAGTTTTTAAAGGGAAGAATTCAATGGAAAACTCAGACAAAGATATATTCTTATTTAATTAGTTTAGATGGTATCCAAAACATTACACCGCTCTCTGTATGAACTGCAAACTGTTTTGGAGTAAACGCTGTCAAAAGTAAATCCCTTCTCAGACTATTACTGAACTCCGAGGAGGTGGCTTATATAGACATCAATATGACTTTGTAGTCTGTATTTTTTTTATTCTTTTATCTCTGTCACATACAAAACAAATCACAAAATTATCCAAAAAAATAAAATACTTACTGTGGCCAGATATATTTCTTAAGTCTTCTTTTGTGAAGTCTAAAGATATTGGATTGGTCCATTCTTGCACTTGAACACCAAGATCTTTTGCTAATATTTGTATAGTTGCTGTCTTTCCACAGCCAGCAGGACCAGTTAACAGCAAAACACAGCCACCCTGACAGAGAAGATAATCCCAAACATTATGAATAACGATTAAACATTGACTGATGATGAATACTGTTTGAGTTATCTTTTGTACAGTAATGATTCTCTTTTACAAACAAAAAGAGGTAAATAGTTTGAGTTTTTAATTACCTATTCACTACTCAGAAAGAGCTAGAACAGAAATCTGCAAGGCTTGCACCCAGCATCTGCTTGGCTAACTACATATTATACGGGGTACCAACATAATATAAGCGGAACAGAAGAATCAGGTTGAAAGAATACTAGCCAGTAAATGATGCATCTGTATAAGAATGCCTCTTAACAATCCAGAAATTAAAAGCATCCTATTACATCAAGTCACTGTGACTAGAAGTTTGCCACACTATTTAAAATCATACTGCTAGAGACAAAAGTTATAAAAACACACCAAGCTGAAGGTATGAATTGACTGGATGCCAGAAAATAATGCTGCTGAGCAAAAACAGAATCTATAGCTACTTCTCTTAGAGCAGGGCTTGTGGGTTGGCTTGTGGTTTGTTTGCTTTTTTGTTTGGGTTTTGGTTTTGTGGGGTTTTTTTTGAAATTAAAGTAGAATTTAATTCAAGTTGTTTAGACAATTTTATACCTCTACCTGCTAATTTCAGCAAAATTACCTGCTTTGGCTGTCTCTGAAATATATGCATTTTTAACCATGTTTCAACTTCTTCAATTTTCTTCTTTTGCACAGCAAGGTCATTCTACAACAAAATGAAAAACGTATGAAATGAATTTAAAAGTATGCATTACGGTTTCTAAAACTTTAATGATGAAATTCAAGAACAGAAAACAGGCTGACTAAAATAACAGCTGTGTATGTGTATGTTTCAGTTACATACACTATGTTTTAGAAGTAAATTAAGGACAATCATTAGAGCTTATTTCCTCAAACAACCAATTTTCCATTCCTTGCAGCATGCAAATAACGAATGATTTATGATTCCTAAAGTAACAACATGATCTTCCAGCGTGATTACATAAGAATGCTTTGCAGTTATTGCTAGAACTGATCCTCGTTAGGCCCTACTGACTCTAATACTACGTGGATCTTTCTAAATTTCTAGTCTCGTGTCTCAGTTCCTCACCAGAGCTGGACTACTAAAAATTTAAATACGAAATACAAGTACTGCATTAACTCAGTTCTCTCTCTTTTCTCTAGTTGTGGATTTTCCTTGAATTTCTATCTGTCAGATTTGACAACAGATTCAGAAGTTTAGGTGTTGATGGACAGGAACTGTCAGTAGCTTTATATCCTCAGGAAGCCTGCTAGGAGGCATACATCCTACAGATACATAGCACATTACAACCTTCATTACAGACAGTATATAATCAAATCAGAACTTCACTGCCCTTATAAAACAGAACATATTTAACTCCTGATCAAGAAGGATTACAAAGAAAAGCATTATATGTAACGTTGCTATTAAATCTGCACTCTCTCATACCTGAGTTTCAGGTTTGTACTTATCTACCCATGGCTCGTCTTGAGACTGGTTCCAGTTTAGTCTGGACTTGTTACAAGGCAGATCTACTGAGGATAATTTTGCTCTTTTTCTTGACAGGCCTTTGTTTTTGCTGCATCCCGGCACAGCAGACAGGTCTTTCTTCCGCTGATGATTTCTCCCAGAGTTGCCTTTGTGTGACTTTTCAGGAATCACACTGGAAGAAATATCTCCACTTCCAAAGAAATCATCAAACGAACGGACCAACCAATCCGACGCCTGGTAAAATACAAGGAATTGCTATTGTTACAGCATTACCTTCTTTCTTCACATGGATGCAATCTGAAATTCCTATCAGCACGCATTCAGAACACCCTGCAAGGGCCCTCAGTAACACCGCTTTTTTACTCCGAGCACAAACTTTGCAAGAGTTAACAAAGTAAGTCACACCTTAGATTCCACGGCAGGGCACTTTGTAGCAAACTGGAAACCAGAACAAGCTAGAACAGAAATAACGACCACCACCACAGCATACGTAAGCTGTTCCAAAACAGCCGGGTAAAAACATCGTTCCCACACGAAGGTTAAGTTCACGCTGCCTCCGCTCGGTTTTAAACTGACCGCCCGAACCCTACCTCCGCCGGCGCCAGCTGCCGCCCCGCCGCACTCCCGGACATCCCGGGCCGACCCGCCGGGGCAGCGCCGCGCGACGCGGCGCCAAACCGAACCCCTTCCGCCGCGACGCGGCCTTCCCGCCGCCTCCGCTTAGCTGCCCGCGGCGTGCCTGCGCGCTAAGGCGCCTGCGTGTGGCGTCATCGCCATGCGACGGCGCTAGCGGAGGACCCCGCACGTGTCTCCTGGGCGACTGCAGCATGCGGCGCCCCAACATCTTGCTGACCGGTGAGCGGCGGGCTGGGCCAAGACGGGCCGGGATGGGCCGCGTTTCTGTGTTCACCACTGCGCGGAGCTGGAGCCCGTCCGGGCCGCGTGGCGGTAGGGAGAGAGGAAATGGCGGGGCCGCGTGTGCGCCGTGCGGCCCTGTGAGGTGGCAGACCGCTGTCAGGGCAGGAGAGTGGGTTTGTCTTTTCTCCCGTCCCGCTCAGCATCACATCTGTGCGCGAAATGAGAATTTTCTTTGTTTGCTGTGGTTGGTTTTGTTTTTGTTTAGTTTAGCACTCCAGGCGTGCGGGACGTCTGCTTTTTCTTCTCGTGTACCTTTTTGCCTCTTTTCTTGTACGAACTCACTGGTATTCGCTGAGGAAAGCTTCCCCCTTGGCTCCACTCCTGCTAGAAGGTTGCCTGAACAGCTGTCTGCCTGTCTCTGACTGCTCCACGTGGGCATTTGTCTTTAGGTACTCCCGGTGTTGGCAAAAGCACCCTCGGCAAAGAGCTTGCATCGAGGACGGGGCTGACCTACATCAGCGTGGGTGACCTGGCAAAAGAAGGTGGGCTGTGTTAGCAGGACAGTGCTGGGATTCTGTGACTGTGTCATTCCCTGCTTCCAATGCATGTGTTATACAGCAAACCAAAATGTGACAGAGTTTCCTGAATTGAAATATTTTGGGTTGGATTTCTTAAAGAGACCGTCTGCAACAAAAACTTAATTAATAAATACAAATTTGTAAATGAAGGGTTCCGTGCTACCTTTTGCTGGCATCTAGCCAAAGTAAACATAACTGTAAATATTTTTAATAACTGTTATCTCACAAACATGCACAAATCATTTTTGTTACAGAAGAACTGTATGAAGGTTTCGACGAGGAATATGAATGCCCAATTTTGGATGAAGACAGAGTAAGTTCAGCTTCAAAAAGTAGTATCTTTGTATTTGTTTCAATCATCTGTGATTTCATGTAGATGTACCTCTCTCTGTTGTTTTTGTTTGTTTGTTTTTAGGTAATTGATGAACTAGAAGGCAAAATGTGTGAGGGTGGAGTTATTGTTGATTACCACGGCTGTGATTTTTTCCCTGAACACTGGTTTCATATAGTATTTGTACTTCGTGCAGACAACTCACTTCTATACGACAGGCTTGAAAGCAGGTATGTGAGGAGAGTAATTAAGTAAATTGCTATTGTGTAATCTTCACCAGAATTTTTTTCTAAGCAATAACATACTGATTTTGTATAAAAAGTATTATAGTTTTGTATATGTGAGGCTGGCTCTCAGTGTTGTTCTTATTTTTTTAGGGGCTACAAAGGGAAAAAGCTACAAGACAATATTCAGTGTGAAATTTTTCAGACTCTTTATGAGGAAGCTGTGTTGTCATACAGAAAGGAAATTGTACACCAGTTACCCAGCAACACTCCTGAAGACCTAGAGAGAAATTTGGATCAGATTGTGCAATGGGTTGAGCAATGGACAAAAGACAACAATTGACAACTGGTGAAAAAGCAACTGTTCTGGTTTTGATTGGGATAGACTTAATTGTCTTCTTTTCAGCTTCCCATGCTGCCCTGCCACCACAGATTGTGAATTATAGAATGGCATGGTGTGGAAGGGACTTAGTACAGCATACTTAGTACAGACCTAGTACAGTGCTGTTCAGTAACCAGCTACCTTTTGGGTCCCTCCGTCTCAGCCATCACCATGGTCTCTCTTTTGACCAGTGTTCTCATCAGCACTTCAGGATTCTCAGGATAAAATATTTCCTGATTCATTTTTAACTCTGTAATCTGGTAGGGGGTTCCAGACCTAGCTTCTGTTTATCAGCTGATTCAGCTGGACTCAAAAATTCTGGTTTGCTTTCTGAGACTAAGTCACGATCTATCTCTTGTTCTTTTTTTTCTAATTTAGACTGCAAAACTTCTTCCTGATCTAATTTGTTTGCCAGTGCCATATGAAGTTACTAACTGATATTACATTCAGCAGTTAACAGGCTCTATACGCTTTTCATTTATTCCTGCAAGGATTTAATCATTTCATCACTAGTTTATCTAATAAAATGTGTCTCTGGGCTGTCACCCAGTGCTCCTCCCAACAAAGTATGCACTGACTTTTCCTTTCTCTGGCTGCAACTTTTGATCTTTTGCAAGTGTTGTGATTCTTTCTTCTATAGCTTTGGGATTGTGCCAGTTGTTCTGAGCTCAAACCATTGCCAGTGTGGAAGGGCAAACACTGTACCTTTTCAGCTTTTCAGTTATGGGAGAAGTCAGACACCAGTGTTTCCTGGGCAACTGTGGCTTGCCACTGCTCATACCTCTCCCATTGTATAGCCTTCCTGGCATATAGCAGAGAGATTTCTTCACAAGACTTTCCATCCACAGTATCAGGTAGAATATCAGTATCTCTCATACCTCTTCCAGCTTAGAGCTTTGCTGGCATAGTTAGCAGGATTCCCTTATTTTGGAAGGTCTGAAGGCTGTCTCTCAGCTACATGCCAGCCTGCCATGGGCAGGGTTGCCACCCAGCAGATCAGGCTGCCTAGGGCCCCATCCTTCCTGATCTTGAACACTGCCAGGGATGGAGGATCCACCACTTCTCTGAGCACCCTGTGCCAGGGATTCACCACCTTCTGGGTGAAGAATTGCTTCCTAACATGTAATCTAAATTTTTCCTCTTTTAGTTTAAAGTCATTCCTTTTGTCCTATTACTATTAAATCATGTAAAAACCAATCCCCCTCCTGCTTTTGTAAAGCATCTTTCAAGTAATGGAATCACAGAATCACAGAATTGCCAGGGTTGGAAGGGACCTCAAGGATCATGAATCTCCAACCCCCAAGCTTGCAGTGAGACATCCCTGGAGCCTTCATGCTAAACAAGCCCGATTTTCTCAACCTCTTTTCATAAGAGAGATGCTCCAGCCCCTCTGATCACGTGGCCCTGTTCTGGACCCACTCCAACAGCTCCACAACAAATCTTCCTGTGCTGTGGCCCCAGGCTTGGACACAGTGCTCCAGATGGGGCCTAACAAAAGCAGAGTAGAGAGGGACAATCCCTTCCTTTTCCCTGCTGCCACCCATCTGTTGATGCAGCCCAGGATACAGATGACCTTCTGGGCCTCAAAGGTATACTACTGGCTCATGTACAGCTTTTTATCCAGCAGGACCCCAAAGTCCTCCTCTGCAGGGCTGCTTACAGTGAGTTCTTCCAGTCTTTACTTATGTCTGGGATTGCTGTGATACAAGTGCAATACCGTACACTTAGCCTTGCTGATTCATGTGGGCCCATTCTTGATCCCTCTGGATGGTGTCCCTCCCTTTCATTGTGTCAGCTGTGCCGGTCAGCTTAGTGAATCATCAAACTTGCTGAGGGTACACTCAGTCCCACTGTCAATGTCATTGATAAAGATGTTGGAAATACCAGTCCCAAGATGGACCCCCAAGGGACACCACTTGTCACAGGCTGTCATCTAGATATAGAGCTGTTCACACAACCCTCTGGCTGTGACCATCCAACCAATTATTTATCACCCAATAGTCCACCTTTCATATTCCTATCCCCAGTTTGAAGACAAGGAAGTGTTGTGTGATCATGACAAAAGCCCTGCACAAGTCCAGGCTGACAATATCAGTTGCCTTTCCTTTGTCCGTTGATGCTGTCAGGCTACCATAGAAGGCCACCAGACTGGTCAGGCAGGATCCACCCTTGGTGAAGCCATGCTGGCTGTCTCAGATTACCTCCGACATGTGCTTCCAGGAGGGTCTGTTCCATGATCTCCCCCAGCACAGAGGCCAGAACAGGATGCTGAGGGTCACAAGAAACTGGGATCTGATCCAAACTGGCTATGGGTGTCCCGTACTGTGTAGTGACATGGAAAACAATAAAAATGGGGAGAGTTGGCTGAGGGGTTGCTGCTGCTTGGGAATTCTGTGGATGTCAGTGGCTGGTGAGGAATTGCACTGTGTGTCAAATGTTCTGTATATTGTGTGGCTTTTAAATCATTACTATTAAACTGACGCTCAGCCCCCCACAGGTTCTACCCTTTTTTTTCCCCCAAAACTATTTCTCCATCCCACAGTGGGTGGAGTGAGTGAACAGCTTTGTAATGCTTAGCTGCATGCTGCTTTAGTAACAGCAACAACTGCTACATCTCTCCCTGGAATGGTTCAATAAATCACATTTGTAATTCTTGCCTGGTAAATTAAAATCAACTTCTCAGTAGTTTATTATGGTTGCAAACTTGAAGGAAAAAAAAAAAATCGAAACGGTCAAGCCGTAAGGCTTTGGAACAGCCCCCAAAGGAGCACGGGGGAGACAGAACTGACACTGGAAGCAAAACCAAGCGGAGTATGAAACCGCCCTCGGTCCCGCAGCGCCGCCGGGGCGGTGTAGGCGGCGAGCCCGCCCCGGAGGTGAGTGGAGGCCGTGCCTGCCGTACGCCCGCTCCGGTCTCCGCGCCTCGAAGGAGGAAGGGCGGCGGGGGAACGCTGAGGCGCGGCCGCCGGCTTCCTGCTGGAGAAGGGGTCCGTGCCTCGGTTGCAGACAGCACCTGGAGGCTGGACAGGTAGCTGGAAGCGGGCTCACGCAGAGAACTGCAGGTTTTTCGCTGAATGTCGCTTTGCCGCTTGAAGTAAGGAGCTCTGTTTGTTTTTTTTCTAGGTGGAATACCTGGTCTTTTGTTAGGGGCGGTGTTCACGTGGCCAGAAAGTGAAGTGTGCTCCACTGAAAAAGAAAAGTAAACAAAAAACAGGTGGAGGGTAAGATGGAGGAAGCAGAAGAGGATGACATGGCATGTGGAGACTTGGGGAATGGACTTGGGAGAAGACCTGGAGGTGTTTATGAAGGGGAAAAATTACAGAACTATTCATTCAGATCTAAGAAGGTGTCTGTGAAGGCTTACAACACTCTCTCATCAATAAAGGGAGTGGAAGAAAATGATGCTACCCCTCTTCCCTGTTCCAAAAGAAACAGCTTTTGTGATGGATCATCCAAGAAGCTTCTTTCTAGTTTGACTCGACAAAGTAGCTGTGGTAAGGCTAATTTGGAATTCACTGTTCATCAGGAGAAAAATTCCTGGCAAGACTGAGCATTGGGGCTACTCCTCAAGGCATCACCAAAATTAGATTAAACTGTTTGCCAAAACCCTCAGAAGCTGTAAAGAATTCCATATGCGTGCACCTCACATGCTTCTTGGGGTCCATTGCTTCTTGGACTTGAGGGCAAAGCCTTCAGGTCTTCTGTCAGTGCAGCTGGCATTGCCAGAAGTGCAGAAAGTGCTCTGCCTGTTGGAGGCAGCCACATAGTCGCTGCATCTGTGTCTTCCTCTGCAAATACTAACAGAAAAATTGCCTTGCAGCCAGTCAGACCATGGCTCTTCTTGGTGTAAAATGGTCCTTGTTAGTATTTGGTATAGACTTTGAAAGAGAAGTCCTGTGGTGGAGGACAATATCATTGTTCTTTAAATGAGTACATTGCATTGAATTGTTTGAGCTCCTCCTTTAAACGTATGTTCCCAGAGACCGCTTCTGAGGTGTAGGACTAAATATTCAAACTCCTGTTTGCTGTTTAGCTTTAGGAATTTGTGAGCCGGCGTTGTTTAAGGGTAAGAAGTTAGTTTTAGAATCTAAACATCTCTGTTATCTCCGTGTTGGCATTGAGGTTTTATCTGAAGACAACACTACTGTGAATAAAATCAAATGCAGGCAGGAATGTTCTTCATACTTTAGCTTCTTTACCTTACATTTTTAGCCATTATTTGTACTTTGTCTGAAGTATTTCCATATAACTTGCTTGTTTCTCCTTTACAATAAGTCTGAACTATCCTTAATATATGCTAAGCCATGTAATTATTCTTTGTTGGTTTCAGCAGTGTCAATGAGAGGATGCTGCAACTGCAGTGTAATGCTGGTTGATTTCACTGTTCTCCTACCTCTGCTTTCTGTGATGCTCTCTTGGCTGTAGGTTGTTCTCACAGCAAACATGATTAAGTCCCACATGAACCCAGCTGATTTAGCAGGAGGCTGCACGTTAATATATTTCTGTAATACTTAGTTGAAGAAAGAATGATGCCAACGGGAACTGCTTGTTTATACAAATGTTGAATCTTGCTAGATTGTGTTGGGTAGAGTTGACGAAAAGTTGCAATTTAAAATGAATCTAAAAAGTGAAATTATTTTTGGAGTCAAGATGTCCTTTTTTTTTTTTAATTTTATTTTTAAATGGAAAGTTAAAACTTAAAATTGCCTTTCATGGCTGTCTTTTTTCCAATTTTGCTTCTTCAACTGTGAAATTATGTTTCCGTTTAGTGTTTATGTACTTCTTAGGTTTGCTTATTAGCTCCAGAAGTTAGGAAAAAAAAGACATAAGGATGAAAACTATCCCTGCATCTTCCCTGTTTTCAGGTTAAAGTACATTCTCATGTTTTCACCATCTCCTCTAAATCTTACAGAATCCAGTAGTGAGGTGTCAAATGAAGAACTAAAGCAACAGCTTCGAGAAGCTCTAGAGGTTAGTAGTGCTACTATGAGCGCTATCCTTAAAATTTGCATTGCAATTTAATGTGTCACAGCACAGTGCTATTTCAGTGGAAGACATCTGTGTGTTCGGAATCTTGTACGAATGTGGGTTCTTGAAACTAGAGCACTACTTGGAAGTCTCATTACATTTTATGCCAGAGAATCAGAGTTTGAGATGCAGCTTATCATCTGACTTTTCATGGAAAAAAAATATATTTTTAAAGATCTAGAGAATGTTAGAGGGATTATGCTCCTTTTCTAGCACTTTTTTTTTTAACTCCATTTTAGACCTTGAAAATCAGAATAGTCTTGGGACTTGTAATCTGTGCTTTCTTCAAAATAACAAGTAACCTCACTGATTTTCAATCAGTCAAAACTAACAAATTTGCTCTGCTCACAAATACAACTCCAGTATCAACTGTTGAAGCAACAGAACAGGAAGAACTATAGCAAAGTATTTTGGAAGGCCAGAGATGAACAGTCAAGACCTACGTTGTTGTGAAGGAAAGATAACTATTGAAAGCAGTGAATTTTCACCTATCTCTTAGAAAGAGAAAAAATGCTTCCTTCTGAAGGGAGGAATCTTGTTCACTTCGTGTAAGTGCTCTAGACCTGTGCTAGTATATGCAACTTTATTAGTAAGGCAGAACTACAGTATATAGTGGCTTATTTTGTTCTGTTTTCCAAATACACTGGAGGAAAACAGAATGGATAGTAACAAGTATTCTTTAATGATTTGGCACTAGCATGCACTGTTAACATTTCTTCATCACAAGCAAACTGCAAGTAGAGAAAGAATCACAGAGGATAAAGATTAGATTTTTTTGAGATGAACAAATTTACATTGCTGTTGTAGTCAAGGTTTAACAAGATTATATTGGCTTTTATTCAGTGTATCTATTTTATTTTGCTTTAGGAAATTGAAATGTTGAAAGTTGAGCTTGAAGCTGCTCAAAGAAAACTTGAAGGAAAAGATGAAGCCCTAAGAATTCTGCAGAGCATGGTAGGTGTTATTCAGAGATCATTTGCTTGCTTACTGGTAAAGGAAGGAAGCAAAATCTTTCTGCCACTCTTCCTTGTCAAGCCTCCCAAACCTTGTAGTCCTTCTAAGGCTATAATTTAAATTGTTGAGTCTGCAAATTTATACAGACTTCACTCTTACACTTTACTACTTTTTCTGCTTTTTTTTTTCCATTTGATTGCACATTTTAAATATTTATTTCAAAGATAATATGGCCCTTTTCGAACTTCTGCAGGATATACTGTGAAAACACAGTTATTTAAGAAGACTTCACTGTTTTAGCAAATTCTCAGAATTTTATCTTTTCCTTGAAGGACTTAGGAAATGCTGACTTTTTTGCAAGTCTTTACATTACTAGTTTTTCCAGTGATGGAGATTCTGCTGCAAAGCAGAGATACTTTCAGTTAATTAGTCCATCTAAGCATTAAATAATGCATCAGTCTTTTGTGCATGGGCTGTAATATTTTAATTTGCTGTTTCTGTGCATGATGTTGAAATTAACTGCCTACTTGCATAATCCATTTATTGTTCTGCAGTTTCTACCCTCAGACATTTGTAATAAGTCACATGTGGATTGAGGTATAGGTATTTTGTAACCAAGTTTTCTGAGAGTTGATATTGTGGAAAATCCTTAAAGATACAATCTTTTTATAAATAATGCTGTATTTTTTGCAGTAAAAGAAACTAGGTGATCAAAACACAAGTTTGTTATGCAACATAGCTATTTCATTTCTTGAAATTAGACTGAGTTGCTAGTATCTAATTCTATACACATCTGGTTAACCAAGAGCATGAGTCTTGCACTGATGTAAAATTGAACACTGGGCTCTACTTAATTAAAGCATTTGATTGATCTGTGCTTTTTCTGTAGGCAGTATTTAGTAAAGCCACTAGTCATACAAAAGCAATGCTTGAAAAAACTGAGGAAGAAAAGAGAACTTTAGAAAAGGTAAGAGTGCAGTTTTCTTTCATACCTGCACAAAATCACGGATGTTCATTGCTATTTATAAGGGTGGTCATACTGTTTATTTGAATCAATACCAATCAGTACCAAAGTTTTGGCTTTTTTTTTTTTCCTTGAAGTGTTCTTATTCCTTTCTAGAAGGGAAAATGTTATTCTGTCACTCTTTTCCTTCTACCCTGCATACTTACATGTTATACCTCAAAGACATTAGAATTCTGTAGTTTTAGTTGTTCTCTGTTGTGAGTTTCACAGTTGTTTATATTGAGCTATTCTATTTCTTAGTTAGCCTGGAACTTCCAAAACAAGCCTAAGGAATGAATGTGCAGTGTTAATGGGGAAAAAGAGGAGTAGAAGGAAGAAGGTGTTGAGCTTCATTAAACTGAATTTTGTTTCTCTTGTTATGTGCCCTTTCCACAGAACAGTAAGGAAAGAGGGAAATGTGACTGCATGGGTTTCCTGTTGTAATATGCTACTACAAGCATTATTGCATTCAGCAGGGTCTGGAACCCGCAGATTAGTAATACACTAAATGATTGTTATCTGCTGCCAAATTTATTTAAAACAACATAGATTGTCATTGTAGGACACCTTGATCTCTGTCAGTGCCAAATGTAACACCAGCAGTTCCATTTCTTCCTTTCATTGTGAGGATTGTAATGAATTGCTTCTGCCTTCTTTTGCCTCTGCAGGAAATTAATATTTTGCAGTGGGAAATTGAATTTGATCAGGATAGATTTAAAAACATAGAAGACACATGGACAGAAAAATATGACAGGTATTTAATTTATGCTACATTTCTTTATCTTTCTTTTCCTTTTTCTCCCCTTTTCAGTGCTTTCCTAATTTCCTTCCTGGTTTGAGAAGATTAATCTAAATTTCATGCTTGTCAGATTTTTATTTTTCAATTAAGACTACTACAATTAATAAGCCTCTAACTCTTTACTTAGGTGCTTTGCTAGTGAGTTTTCATTTTCATTCTTATACTTCATTACGTTAGCCAGCAGGAGCCAGAGTGTACTTATTTACTTTAAATGTAAATAAGGTATGGAAAGTAATAGTATTTGCTTGCACATGGAAATATCATTTTCAGATTAATCATTGTTTTACTTCCTTGCATTGTAAGTATGAGCCTAAGTACAGGTAAAATTGAATGCTTTGGGGAGAGGCTGATGAACTGGTTCTTTGTTTAATTAAGACTTATTCAGAATGGAGAGGAGGTGTAGTTAGGCAGGCAGTAGAAGCCAAGGCACTACACTAATGATTCAGTTGCAAACATGGAAAGACATAAACAGCAGTCTCATTTATTTAAAGTATAACAGTATCTGTGGCATCTGTGCTTTAGAGTTACAATTATTTTAGTGGAGTTTCTTATTTAAAAGTTTCCAACTTTGAATCAAGGAATATGCCAAAAAGACTTAGGAACTGTTCATTTATAAGAAAGATTTGCTAAGATATTGTATTTCTTTCATCTCTTAACTGAGTTAAAATGCCAAGAAATAACTTTTAAAAATCCGTTAGGAAGGTAGGAAGTGTTGGGAGCAACAAAACTACAGTTAATAGTTGGAAGCTAAAGGTGAAAGCTTCAGAAAGCCACAAGCTGTGGGCTAAAGACAGTTTTGCAAAAACATATTCCAATATCCAATACAGTCGGATGAGAAGAATGTTTATTTCCCCTTCTTCATTTTCATTCAAACAAAATATTTCAAATTATTATTTGGCTTAAAAAAAAAAAAAAAAAAAAAAAAAAAAAAAGAAAAGAAAAGTTACAGGATGCTGCAATTATAGGCAGCTGAAGAGAATGATAAACCAAAAAAAGGTATTGCTTTAACACTTAGGAATTTAGATTGCCACTTTTCAATAAGGAAATATATAAAGGAAAACATACATTCTACATGTCTCTCCTGTGCTCTCAGTTTGCTGCTCTCAGAATAGTATCAAGATACAGGAAGTTTACTTTCTAAATGAAGACATGAGCCCTGTTGTTGTATGTCCAGTTACAGTTTCCTCTTTTCAAGGAACCAAAAGATTGCTCAGCAAGTGTTTCAGAGTTTTACAGTTACAATTTTTATGGAATTTCTAACAGTAGTGCAGTACTTAAACTTATCTCCTGTTAAACTCTAAAGCTAGGGTCACTGTGTACTTCCATGTGAATTGTGTCTTATTACTATTTTTTTACACTCACTTAAGCACACATGGGCACATTTAAATTGATAGCATAAGGGAGTGGTTTTACTAAAAAGGCCAGCCTGTTTGAACAGTGTGTTATCTGGATTGCAAAGAAACTTCCACGTAAATGCAGAGATTCTTACTATTGCTCCCTGCAGAGAGAACTGCAGCTTGAATGACCAGGAGCAACTGTACAGAAGCTGGTGTTACATAGTCTCATTTCTGTGCCCTGGAGGTTCAGTGCCCATTAGACCTAGGCAGACCTGCTCCCAGAGTGTACTATGGTCACCAGCCCCTGCATTATTTAGAATATTTGGTTGATTTCATCTGTTTGCCCAGAAGAGGAGTTCATTAGTCTTTAAAAGGAATCCCCTATCAAAAACTGCTAGCTATGCGAAAGGTCATTCCATCTTTATTTCAGAAGGCTAGTTATGAATGGTTGCAGGATTTTTATTGGACCCTCACTAGCAGATTCAGATCTAGTAACACATCACTTATTATTGCTACAAATATTATTATGGGAAAAAATCAGGAACTTTTGCATTAAAAAATTCACAAGTGAGGAAACTGCTGATGTGTGCGTAATATCAAATTAACACTCAACTTTTTTTCAGTTTTTTTTTTTTTTTCTATCTTTTCAAATCTAATTTTAATTTGCAGGAATATTAGATGCAATGTTTTAACAGGCTAATGTCTTTTTTTTCCATTTGATTGCACGTTTTAAATATTTATTTCAAAGATAATACAGCCCTTTTCTAACTTCTGCAGGATATACTGTGAAAACACAGCTCTTAAAGAAGCACTGAAACTGAGAACGGAAGAAGTTAAAACTCTTAAATCTGAAAATGCAAGTAAGACACCAGCAGCTCTTCCTCTTGATGTATTGCTTTTCTGGAATAATTCAGGAGTTAGCTATGAATGAAAGTTTCTGTCAGGACAAGTCTCTTTTTATTGGCAGCTGGTATTAGTAGATATTCAGCAACCCACTTTAAATAGACTGGTAGTATTTGTTGTTCTAGTCGCATTGTCACTCTAAAAGGAAGAAAACAAAAAAAACTGACAGGACAAGTCAATGAAGAAGTAGACCTCACCGCCCTAGGGGACTCTGGATGTAGAAGGGAACAACCTGCATTCTATTAATGTTCTGTAGGAAGGGAGCAGCAGGCCAAGCAAGGCACAGGATGTCTGTGCTACAATTAAAATCAGCACTAGAGGCATACTCCGTAAATCTCTGGCATCCAGAGGCATATCTGTAAATGGATCATCACATCTAGGAAAATGCACAAGGAAAAGCAACTGGGATCTGAGTTTCCAAATCTACATAGTCTCATATTATCATACCTGATACTTACACTATAGAACTGTTTTGGTTTGTTTGTTTGTTTGTTCTGGCTGTAGTTGAACTCAGAAATTAAGAAATCAGAAGAACAAACTTTAAATTATTGTCCTCGTTTATTTCACAGTCTTGAATCAGCAGCGCTTAGAATTTCTTGCCATGCTTGATGTGAACAAACAGAAGATTGTTCAGGAGAACATGTCCATGAATAGAAGAGACATCACAGATATTACAGGTTTTGAAGTAAGTATGAAATCTGTTTTTTGAAATTGCTGATGAACTTGTGTCCCACGTTGTCATCTGGAAATCCATATTCCAAATTGTATATCTTTATGATATAAAAGCAGGCTGTATAATGTGATGCATTTACTAATGTTTCTGGAAGTGCTCAGTCTGGCAAGATCACAGTATAAGACTTTATTTCTTTGTTTCAGCTTCAGAGTAAAAGCCAGAAGGGAGCAATGTCTGCAAGGGTATGTTTATATGCAGACTTACTGGAATGCAGTTGTGGGTCTTCCTATGTCGTACAAGCACACTTCTTGTACTGCCTTGATTTTCTTGAGTATTTCCACATAGGTAACTGCTGAGTAGAAAACTTAAAGCCTTTGTGGTGCTGAATTCAGATTTTAACATTTAATTGGATAATTAATATCACAAAAGTACTGTGTTAGGATTAGATGTGAAATTAGTGCTGAAAAATAGACATCACGTGCATCATTGTTAGTGAAAAAAACTGATGTCCAAATCTTTGTAGCTGAATTTTCCTAACTCCTACACTCCCTCTGCAGCTTCAGGATGTTTTTGCTAGTCACTTGGCTTCTCTTGGATTCCATTCCATATGCAGATATGTAACTGCTGGTTTGTTTTGGATTTTTAGCTGGCAGTTCTTGGTGCCTGCACCTGCAATTCTTCTGTGGGGCAGCCTTGTCCCTGTGCTAAAATGGCAGCTGTCACTCGAAAGCAAATTCTTCATCTCAAGCAAGAGGTAATGCTGTTTGATTTAGGTACAAGCAAGGAGTGAATGTGAGGGAACAAATTTGTACAAAAACAAGTAAAGCCATAAACACTCTCCCATGGCTTACACAAATTGGTGTGTTTTATAATAAGAATGCATCTCAGAAATAATGTTTGTTTGTGATGTCCTAATTGTTGCTGATGTAAAAATGTTTTGCTAGTAAAAAAAAAAATCTTAATTGTTCTAATTCATTCTACTTACATTTTTTATTATGAAAATATGCACACTCAAAATGCATACACTCTGTAAATATTTACACAATGTGAGCATTAATTGCCACTGAAAAAGAAATTGCTCCTTTTCCCTTCCTTCCTGGCACTGTATTCCACCCTCTTCCACTCCTCCTTTGTGTTGGCATTAGCACTGAGCTGACCTTGCTAAAAATGATGTATTTACACGCACTAAATACATGTATTTAGTGCAATGTAAATACAACAAAGTGTTTTCAAGCCCATAAAGTCTCTAATTTAGTAAATATATGATTTTAGATAGATTTTTTTCTTTTCATTAGTGTTTTATCCTGCAAATGTGGTAACCTTTCTCACAGTCCTAATGCAGAAGTTGCCCTAACATACTGATTTTGAAAATAGGTGGAATAGAATAGAATAGGTTCACTTCCATCAGAAAGGGTCTTCCAAAGATTGAGTCCAACTGTCACTATTTTGGGGCTGACCATAATTAAAATTCATCAATAAAAACATTATCTGAATGCATCTTTGACCTCACAGACAGGCATAAGACAGCAACCACCTCTCTAGAAGTATGACACCTCTTTTGTATCAGGGTTATGATACCTGGTAAAAATACTGTTCTTTTGCTGCCTGGCAGCATAGCCAGCGCAGTGGATAGGTGGTGTTCGTTGCAGGTACAGAAAAGGATTTAAATACATACTTCAAAATATATTTCTTTTTGTAGCAAGAAAGCCACTGTTCTGTTTCTACTTCCCGAATTGGAATCAATCCATCTGATGTGCACAGGGCTGCCTTAGGAACTGCTGTGGTGACTTGGTAACATGAAAGTGCTGAACTGTGCTAATGGCCTCAATCTGTCTCAATTTGAATTTTAAACCTGCTATTGCTTCCAAATTGCTTAACATACTGTAAATTTTCTCTTAATTAAAACCAGATTGAACTTCTGATGAAGAGTAAAGATGAAGCTTATATAATGGCAGATGCCTTCAGAATTGCATTTGAGCAGCAGTTAATGCAGAGGAAGGACCAAGCCCTGAGGCTTGCAGAAGTGATAAAGATTAAAAAGGAAACAAAACTTATAAACTGGAGGCGACTGAAAGAAGATGGTAACTGTATCTGTAATGGTGGACTAGAAAAAAGTCAGCTGATGGGCACGGGCAGATATTTTTATTGCATCAGATGTGTGGTTCTGGTTTAATGGCTGACAGATTTCCGAAGAGTTCAGAAAAAAAGGAACAAAGTTACGTTAAAACTGTACATACCATAAGAAATAGAGCTGGTAGTTCACAAACTTCTACCAGAAGTTTCTTATGAAGAATGTGCATGTATAAGTGGATTGTTACAGTACTCATTATATAAAAATGATTGTAGGACATTGTTGATACTAGTCCTGCTTTTAGTGTAGCCTTTTTTAAATTATATGCTCGTGAGTTGTATTATGTTGGAATAAATAATCTGTTATCCAGATTAACAATAGCATTGTAGATATTAAAGATGTTAGAAAAACAGCACAAAAAACCTTGCGTCTGGAAAGGCTAGCTTGGCCATTTAAGGTGCTATCAACCATTTTGTTTTTATTTTTTCAATGAAGCCTGTATCAGGAAGGATAAAGGCAAAAACAGGTACTTTTTACTGGAATACTGCTTTTTTCTGTTGGTTTTTTGTTGTTTTTTTAAGTACTTCAATTTTTCATTATTTATGTAGGCATTAATATTTATTCTTTTACTATGGTCATCTACAATCTGTCTGGAAAAGAGAAAGACTTTTCATTATCCTTTTCTTAGTTGAGAAAAAAACTAATGAGAGTTGTTTAAGTGCTTATGTCACGGTCAAAACTATAGCAGAAGTGAGAAGTAGAATGTACTTCAAAATGTGTTTCTGCTAGCCATTTATCTGTATGTGCCAAGCATGGATCTGTGGATCCTCTGAAGTCCTTGGACACCTCCGGGAAATAATATTAAAACAGGATATATCTCCAATATCTGTTTCCCTTTTATCAGTATCACCATTTCACGGAATCAAAGAATGGTTTGGATTGGAAAGGACCTTAAAAACCACCCAGCTCCAACCTCCTGCAATGAGCTGGTGGCTTCCCACCAGGTCAGGCTGCCCAGGGCCCTGTGCAGCCTCGCCCTGAGTGCATTGTGTGTTCTAAGCTCTATGTTTTGATACAAGCATTTCATCATTTTAATGTATTTTAATCTTTTGATAAATCCTAGAAACTGAACATATCAGCCTACCAGATGCTTAAAAACACATTGCCATGAATTGTTATTTAGCTAGAGCCAAGATATATTTTTAAATAGCAAAAATAAATATTTTTTATTTTCAATTTGCTCATATCTGATGAAAAGTCCAGGTATCTTTTAAATGATGGCAAGAGTGGTGCTCCATAGTAATAACCTGCCCTAAGATGTACAGTAGAAGCTGTAGCCTGCAGTGCCCTTCTGGAGGACATTGCTCAGAGTTCAGTTGGATGCACATTCATTTTATCCAAAGCCAGTTTTTCTCTTAAGTATTTCCACCATTCTCATACTTTCCGTTGTTCATAGGGTCTGTCAAGCTACAAGGGAACAAGAACAGTCTGGGACAGAAATTATCAGGCCTGCTTTTTTTAGATGCTGACAGCAGGAAAGTTGAAGAACTGGACAACCCTCATGAAATCCTGAAGATATTAATAGATTTGGTTAGTATTACTTCTTAAACTAGACTCTGGGAGAACAAACTGAACTGCAGAGTTTTTGTCAATAATAAAACAAGGTAAAAACGAGACAAGGAATCTTGTATGGATAAACGTTTGCATGTACCTGTGAAAACACAGCTTCCTATGCCAGCATCACTACTGCTGTTAAGTGGTCTGGATTGACAGGTTACTGTCATTTTTGGTTGCTACCAAACTTTGGGTCTGCCACGATGCCTAGATAGCCTTGACACCATTCTGACATTGTTTTTCTGATCTTTTCATATGCTAGACGTGGTGATTCTCATGAGTCCATTCCAATGTGTGACGTTCCATCATTTACGTTTACAAGGAATGTTTGGATTTTGTATTGTTGAGGGACATGGTTTAGTGATAGGTGGCTGGTTGGACTGTATGATCTTGAAGATCTTTTCCAACCATGGTGATTCTGTGATACATGGACTGCCTTGCTCTCAGCTCACAGCTTCTTTCTTCTTTTCTGTGGCCAACTGCAGGTAAATGACAAAGAGGAGGCTCTGGCTCACCAGAGGAAGGTCAGCTACATGCTAGCTCGTGCAATGGAGCTGAAAGAGGCGGCACAGCAGACGCAAGGCCAGCCTCCCACTGGGCACGGAGGCAAAGCCGTGCAGCCCCATGGGCCAGCAGCACTGGGACCGGTGCGCTGCTGTGACCTGGCTTCTCCGAGCAGCCTTTCCTCAGCTTCCAGTGGAAACGGGTTCCAGAACTCGGTTAGACAGCTTCGAAAATCACACTCCTGGCCCTCTGAGGCCGCGCCTCACGAGGAAAGCGATCCGTGTGGGAAAGCATGCGAAACTGTGGTGATCTCGATCTAAGCATCAGCCGGAATAAATTATTTTTTTCAAGAAAAAAAAAAAAAAAAAGATTTTGTGGACATGTCTGCGACCACCCCCGCCCACACGGCCGACTACGGCGGAGCGCCGATGGGGCAACGAGCGTCAGCGCAGGGCCGTCCTGCGCGCGCGCAGAGGTGGCGGGTTCCCGCCCTCGCGGGGGCTGGCACTGCGCATGCGCCGCAGGGCGTGCCGGGAATCGGGGCGCCGTCCCGGAGCCGGGCGGGGGTTGGCCTACTCGTGAGGTGAGCGCCGGGGGAGGGGCGGTTATCTGTGCTGCTGTAGGGCGCTGGGTAAAGGGGGGGGGGTGGTGGGCGGGCGCCGTGCCGGGAGTCCGCGCCGACGGGGCGGCCCGGGGCGCAGGGGCTGTTCTGCGGCCTTCCGCCGCGAGCTGCGCTCTGTGAGGCAGCCCTGCTTCCTCCCCGGCCCGAGGCGGCTGTGTGAGCTGGGCCTCGCTCGGCGCTGCGGCTCTGGGTACCTTGGGGCGGCGTGCCTGCGGGGCTCGTGTCGGTAACGGCCGTGGAAGTGCTTTCGCGCGGAGCGAAAACAACGTGGTGGATGTTTGTTTGTGGTGCGAGGCTCGCCGCCGCTGCTGCCAGCTGCGAGCTGCAGCTCTTCGTGCGGCTCAGGGCGGGCGCGGTGCTCGTAGCGATTTGCAGACATTAACGATCTTTTTACTTCCTTCTTTTCAGTTGGCATTGCTGTCGGATGCGGAGTTTAATGGACGTGCTTACGCTGCTCAAGTTAAGTAAGATGTGCTGGATGAACTGGAGCGCGTGGCAGCCCTGTCTGTATTCAGATACAGACTGCAGTGGCAGAAAGCTGTCTCTTGGTATGCCCTGAAGAAATGACTTGTGCACAGGAAAGGATCCAGTTGGCTGCTAGAATCAGATGCTGTTACTGTCCCATGCTGTACTGCTTAGTTTATCCAATACGAATGTCTGATCATTAATAATGCAGATCAGAGAAGATGAGAATGTTAAGAGAGCACTGGTCTCTGTTGTCTGAGAAGTTATCTTTCAGACCTGATCAAATAGTCGTGTTCCCATAACTTGTTTCCCAAGGCTGAGCATTACAAGCTGATACCTCCAGTAGTGGTGTGCAGTGTGTCTGTTCAGGTGAGCAAGTGGGGCATTGGACTAGACCTTTAAAGGTTCCTATCAACTCAAGCAGTTCTGTGATTTTATTTTGGAATGGGTTCTTCAGCCATTGGGCTGTTTTTGTTGGTACTGGTGATGTTCTGGAGCGGTGCTGATAATCATTAATTGCTGTCTGACATCTGTTTGTGGTGTGAGTGGTGCTATTTTCTGGTCAGAAGAGCAATAGCATGTGCCACTAAAGTGAAAGGAAATTCTAGTGGGGCTGTCAACATAAGTAGTCTGATTGCGTTGGTGATAAAATCATAACACTGGTGACCCTTTGTGTTGTTGAAATTGTGTTTCAACAACATCCATGTTTAGGTGAGGCAGTTTAATGTTTTGCAGCGTGCTACGTGAGGTTTTCTTAGGTGTCTGAAAAACTTTTTTAAATTTCATATTCATCCCCTGATTCAGCAGGTAGGTTTGCAGTGTCAGCAGCTGCTGTGCTTTCAATAATGTATTGCATTGCTCAGCAAGAATATTATATCTTTTTATTATTATTTTTGTCTGACGGCACTTAATTATTTCTCGTTTTTTGCTCTTTGTTGATTGCTAGTGAACTCCGTGGGTATCTGTACACCTAGGCTTTGGTAGGTTTGTTTTATGTCTTTTATTTGTTGGTTGGTTTGTGGTGGTGCTGTTTCTGTCTGCAGGGCCTACAGTTTTCTGGTTCCTGTAAAGGTAGTGAATTGAAATAATGTATCATTGTGGTGATACAAAAGACTCTCCAGATGACCACAATAACTGCCTTAATATTAAGCTAGCTTTTAGAATTGAAGAACTGTACATGCACTTGTGTTTCTTTGTTTCCATACCCGATCTTGTTTAGCTCTTCCATGATGTTTGGTTGTGACTAGATTGAGATCTGGTAATGGATATATATCAAGCACCAGAAGTTGTTTTTCAGGGATTTTTAAACATCAGAAATCTGCTTGTTAGAGATAGAACAGGTTAGCAAACTGTGATGAGTTTGACCATTTTATTTTGCAAGTTCTTACTGAAAACTACTATCTACCTGCATTTAGAGATATTATGTTTGATTTTAAAAAATGGCAGTCTGTGCTATTGTTTGATGCTTGGCTGTTCTCTATCCTAGCAGACTTGTAATGTCTTCTTATTTTAATAAGACTGCATTGAGAAGTCCCTAACAAAGTATTTTTTGAATCTCAGTGTATGTATCCTTTATAAATTGTTTATGACGTTTATAAAAAGTTGCCTATAAAGTTTTTTTTGTTGTTGTTGCTGTTGTTTTAAGTCCATGGATACAAGCTGACTTGTTACATGGTCATCTAAATCACAACATTTGCTTTTCTTAGGTAACTTTTCCACTAAAATTATTGCCTCTGCTTCTTAAAGTAGGGTCCAATATAAAGTGCAGCGTTAGGAGTTAGCCAGAGACCAAGCCTCATCTGATGTGAAAAATAAACTAAGCAAGTTTTCACCACTCCCTTTTGTTCTTTTTAGGTGTGCTGAGTGCCCAGCCTCAGTACGCAAAGAAGGGTGTCAGACCAGGTGCTGATGTTCTTGTGCTAAACATTTAGCTGTTCAGAGTCCATCCTCGGACTACTGCTGTTCTTCTTGCATTTGGAATATAGGGTTCACTGTGATAACCACTACATAACAATTTCATCGTTAGATTTCTTGGTTAATCAGTGTAAGATAGGAAAGAGTGCTGCTACTGTAAACGTGGCTGTGGGGTTTGCTCATGAGGGCTTTAGAAATGCAAGCATTAGTTTACCTTTTGTAAAGCTTGGGGTTGGATATCTGCAAGATTGGCGTGAAGGCACATAAAGGAGACAGCGCGACAGTCTGGTTTTGGCTAACAGCTGTGGGAGTGAGCAGTTAATGTTTCAGCATGGAATCTTGAAAGTCACAGGACCCAGAGTAAGAACTTTTGCTTCATTAACTGTGAAATGAATATTAAGTTTAAACCCCTTAGTATGATAATGAGCTCTAACGACAACATACTAAGCATATCTGACTGTTGTACTCGACTCTCAACCAAAACTATGTTAAATGTCCCTCTGGGATGGGGAGCCATAAGGTTAGGATATAAGGGAAAGTTCCTTTGGGAGTGGGAAACTGTTGAAACTGTTCAGTGAAAGCCTAGCGAGTGCTGGAAAGCAGACATCACCTGTTTACAACTGTGAAAGCCCTTGTGGGGGAGCTGTGGCCGAGAAAGTCAAAACTGTATGCTTAACGTGACACATGCTAAGGAAGAGCTCTGAATGGGAGACTTAGTGTGAACTTGTTTAAAAACAAACCAGGTGCTTACCTACAGAAGTGAAGAAGTAGTCCAATGTGCCTTTTTGTAATAAAGTAATGAAAAATATTGAAGCTTAGAGATGTTCTATCAGCAAAATAAAGGCTGTTAACTGGTAAATATGGAGTTTTGCCAAGTCATGTACTTGAAAGCCCTAGTGGTAGGTGTGCTCTGTTCTTTAGTGAAATTAGATATCCATTAGGTGAGACATAAGTAAGGGCAAACTGTGTGATGAGAGCTAATGACTTGTAATCATTCAGAATATTTAGAATGTGACCTATTTCTGTCCTTTAATATTTGAAAACCATCTTTTGTATATTTCTGTCTGAAGAAATGAGCATCTCAAGGCTTCATTTGTTATCAGGCCTTGTAGCTTAGTCATAAGACAGAGAGAAAAATGTCGAAAGGAAATAGCAGACCTTTTAGCTCAGTTTAGTACTTCCATCTGTGAAAGTAAGTCTCCAGAGCTTGTGTGTAAACTGAGTCACCCAATTTAGCAGTAATTACCTTCCCCAGTCTGAAATGTCTTTCTGGAAAAAAAAAGCTTTCTCAGGTCTTCCCCTTTAAACTGACTTCTACTGTGTTAGAAACTAGCTGTTAACACTGTGCTGTAGTCATTTTATGCCATGGTTAATTTCTTCCCTTTTTGAGAAGGACCAGTACACATTTCCCAGTCCCCTAGCATATAAATATTTATCTTAGGATGAAAGCATACAGTCTTAGACAGACAGTGATTTAGCTACTGCTTAAAACTTAAGGCTTTCTACTTCAAAAGAATCACATGAAATTGAGCCAATAGGAATCTCAAGTTGTGTGCCTTACCGTACTGTGAAGGATTTAAGATCTCAGAGACTATATTTTAATAATCTATAATCCACTTGGAGACAATAAGGGGACAGTATTCAGATAACTAGAAAGTGTGTTTGGAAAATAGCCTCTAGCAGAAGGTACATGCCTTTCAACCCTTGGAAAGTGGCAGCAGCAAGTAAGGGATTGATTCAAGTTCTGAAGGTGTCTGATAGGTGCACAGATCCGGCTTCCCTGTTTTTCTGCTTGGTGGGGATGCTTTACTACTTATCTGCTTCCCCTTCTGGTGTGGTGGCATTCAGTTCTTATGTTTATACAAAGGCTTCATCTCAATGAAAACTAAGGAAAAAGTTTTAACAAGGAAAAAAAAGTTGTTATTCCTTCCTGCTCAGTGTAACTGGACAAATCAAAACTCACATGATGTATAGAATGTTAAAAGGGCAAGTTGTTTGTTGAACAGTTCCTCTAAAAGCTGCAGTGCAAAGATCTGTGTGTGTAAACAGCTGCAGTCATTGCTTCCACACCCAGTAGTCTCCTTCCTGTGTGCTCATGCACTTTCCGTGCCCATATAAAACTTCTATCGTAGTTGCTTGTTTTCTTGATGCTTTTAGGTAAGGGGTGGGACTTGTACAGAAATTGCTATGTATTTTTAAAAATATGGTGTTGCTGCTGCTAGTTTCAGATGGTAGAATTTTTGAAACTCTAAGTTATTTTCAGAGTGAGTACAACTTGATGAAACAAACAGCTTCAACAGCTTGTTTTTGCTCAAGAAAACAGACATTTAGCAAAACTGTATCACCAGAACTTCTTGATGGCTTCCAATTCACTCCTGTTTTAACGTTAATGCTGGGATTGGCTGTAGGCAACTATAGCTGAGCCAAAAATGTAAGATGATCTGATTCCTGAAACGTTACATCAAGTGAGCAGGATTTTAGTTTAATGATGATAATATATATACAAGATTGAGAACAGAAAGATGAGAGATGGATAAGAAGGGATTACTACTTATCTTCCCTTTTGCTGTAGTAGTTTTGGGAAGATGGGAGAGCAGAGAAGGAAAAGAGATGAAAATTTGCTTATGGAAGAGTTGAAAATCTTCAAGAAAGACTAGCTAAATAAGAGGGAAAGTATAGTAATCATTTGAAGTTATTTCAGCTGTTCAAAATACTTCATTACCTCAGATGGAACCATTTTATTCTAAAACTACATGGAATTATGTAAATGTGATAATATTGCCTTAGGATGAGGTATTATCATGGTACATTTCTGAGCTTCTGAAAGTAATGTATACCTTATACTCTGATGTAATTAATGTTGGCATAAAACTTCAGTTCTTTTGTACACTCGATTCCTTTCCATGTTTGATAGAAATCTTTGTGATGTGTGGAATCAGACTATAACCACAAAGTAGTTATAAAAGCAGGTATGTTTAATCAGTGCTGCGCAGACACCGGGTGCAAGGGGGATAGCTCCTAATTGGCATACCGTCAGTAAAAAGTGTGCTACAGGTATAGGCTGAACTAATACATAATCAATAGTTCCCAGGAATTTTGATACATATTCATTACATTCCCGAGAACCCATTAGCATGCGGGCTCCCACTTCGTGTGTGTGTAGTGAGTTGTAAGGGTCTCCTCCTGGTGGTCGTGGGATGAAGAATCCTCATCTTCCTCGCAAAGGCTTGTATTCTTTCTCCCTGTTAACTTTTGACCCTGTGGGAGGGGCAGCTCCCCCCCCCCTAACCCAGTTTCAGCTTGCCTTGTGGGCATCTAATCACCTCACTTCCAGACGTCCTCCGGCTGTTCTCAAACCTTTATCCTTATGGCCTTCATCCCCCTCATTATCCCAGTCCCAGTGTCTGCCATCCCTTATTTTTCTAACAATTTCTACGTTCTCGCTTCTATAAACTATCTCTAACAACGCCCCTCCCCGCATCCTTAGTCCCTGTGAAGCCTTTTCTACTGCGGGGCCCTTCTCACCCTTCAGATGGGGCAAAAGTGTCTTCTGCTTAGCTATTTAGTGTTATAATCAAATAGTGAATCTATGTGTAATTCAAAATCCCTCATTTGCTAAGAATTAAAAATGCCTTACGTAATCCAGAAGTCTTTTAAAGTGAGGGGTAAAAATAGATGAAATTATTACTTGCCTCTTCCTGGTATATTTTATGATATATCTGAGAATTCTTTGTAAAAGCTTCAGATGTCCCTGTGGTAAATAAAAAAAACTCATTTCAGAGGTAGTCCTTATGTCTTCTTTATTGCTGGTAGCCATCTGTTTTGTTGATGGCTAGATTTTTTGTTTTGCTTTTAAATTATTGTGAATTTTAATGTATTCAGCATTCTGATTACTGTAAATTGAGAACTTAATTTACAGGGATGTAAGTTGGTGTTTTATGTACAACTAAGAGTGAAGCAGGATTTACAAGTCCTTGTCAGGACATTGTGCCATGCTAGTGCCTTTCACTTTGTAGACCTGTTCTTAAAAAAAAAAAGTGGATGACTGTCTATCCTTTTAGAAATTTCCTTTGGCTTTCTGTTGGATTAGGCAAGAGTGACTGCCAACACAAAGACCTGGGGAGCATGGAGCTGGGGAGTCGTGAATGGTCTGTGACTGCTTCTTTTAGTCATGGCTGCTACTCCATTAGTTGTAAAAGAAGTTGTACCTGAATGTTAAGGATGTGTAAGAAATCCCCACAGAGAATAAGCTCAGCATTATGTATTTCTTAAATCTCTGTTTTCTCATAAACCTTCAGTGTTTGTACTTTATATAATCTCTTTTAGTAAATTTTGACCATCAGTTTTGTTAGTGTCCATAAACATGTGCTGTAAGGATGAGATCTGCAGTTTTTCTGTTAATAATATATAAGCTATTTTAGCATGAGCTGTTTTAGCATCTCCCTGAGTAGCAGGAAAACAAGGCAGACCTTCAGAGGTTCTGGTTTCCAGACACAAGAACTAAAGAGATCTGAGTCCCTTTGGGTTACTTTCAGGTAAGGTAGATAGCATCTTGATGATATGACAGGTAATTGATGTTATGGGTATTCAGACATGAAAAAGATGTAGGATTAGGAAGCCTCTCAAAGTGATCAAGAAGGCATAACATCTGGAGACTGAAAGTCTTCATTAAACAAATGGAACAGTGTTTTATGATACAGACTGTGCATTGCAAATTGCTTTGGTGAGTTGCCAGGTATCTAAAATGAAACTTTTTTGTTAATGCTTTTTTGCAGGTCTCATAGAAGGTTAATGGGTTTTGTGTTCTGAGTAGGGTGGAAATGAACTAAATTACCATGCTACATTTTTTTTTTCCTGGTCTTGAAGGAAAAATTGAGAGGATTTAAAGGCAAGTCATTGAGCATGAAGTACATACAGGCTGATGGATTGCAGTCATCCGTATAACATTTTATTTTATAGAAAATTTTCATTAAAATACTTTCTGAAAGTTATTGTCTAATAATGGAAACACTTTATGAGTAGCAAAATATGAGCGAATTGTTGCATTTTTCTTTTTAGGTTTGAGAGGCCTAAAGCCAGACTAGAACTTAAATAGAATGGATACATACTTTAAAGCCGCAGTCTGTGACTTGGACAAACTACTGGATGAATTTGAACTGAATACAGGTTAGTAACTGTGCTGCCTTCTACTCCAGTGTGGTAATATTGGCCAAGTGACTGTTATGGGGAATTTGAAAGTAATAAATGGTAAGTTAAAGCTTATGGTAGTGAATAGATGAAATTTGGAGGACGTGCACTGTAGAAACACTTAAATCTTATAAACTTTGCTGTTGATCTCTTTTTTACTTAAAATAGATGAATGCGACCTCTCCAGAGCTCCTCAAAATCCGTGTGATTCAAAACACCATTCCCTTCCTTTGGATTTGGGTTTCTTGCAACGCGTATACCCAACGCAAAAACTACAGGAGAATGCTAACAGCTGTACTGTGTCAGAAGAAATCTCTCAAGCCAGCCACACCAGACCAAATGAAGGGATTCCGAATTGTTCATCGCAAAATGAGAGGAGTGTTTCTGGGCCTGATATTTTGACCATTGTGAACAGTGCTTCTTCAGAAGGAAGTCAGGGTTCAAACCTGGGAAGTAGTATACCTATGTGTGATCTTGTTAGTGACATAAGTAACTTGATCCGTTCAGCAGGTACTAATGTAAATACTCAAAAATTGCAGCCAGGTGACTCTTATTGTAGTGAAGACTGTTTGAGTGGCTTTGGCAAATCTTGCATGCCTCTCTCTGGTTGTGTATTTTCATTGGGTTGCAGAGGTGTTTTATGTACAGAGCAGAATGATGGGGACTCAATGCTACAACATTCAGGACCTCTTAAAACAGAAGAGAGTAATCAATTAGCTTTAAAATCAGATGTTTTTGGTAAAGCAGAGGTTTCAGATCTGTGTGATTATCACTTCACTTTAAAGATACAGTCCTGTATTGAAGTATTTGATCATCTTGAACAAACCGCTCACCCTAATACTACGTGTGTCTCTGAAACATTACAGAATTCAAATGTGTACGATCCCAAAGATGAGACAGCATGTGAAAAATTGCCTTCTGAGCCACAAGATGGAAGCACGTGTTCTCCAGTGAGCGAAGAGATACATGGAGGAAATACTGCAGAATGTGTAACCTTGGAAGATCAGTGTAAAATGGAATCCATGCCTTCAGGTTTGCCACATAGACATCAGTTGGACAAAAACCATGGAACATTGCCTGAAAGTCATGCTTTACAAGGCTCTACGTGTCAAACAGGGGCTGAAGTAGAACTAGAAGAGCAAATTACAGAAGAGAATGTGGATAGTGAAAAAGTTGCTGAAGAGGTACTAAACAGTGCTTTACCTTTATGTGAATCAGTCGAGGTTGTCCAGACATCACTGCCAGATCTTCCACCACTTCCTGTATCCCCATATGGTTCCTCAGTTGTAACAGAAGAAAAAGTTAATTCTCTACCTCAGAATGAAATAGCAGAGGTTATTAGTGACACTTTAACAACTGATCTCTCTGATTGTGAGTCCTGCAAAGAGACTGACTTTCATGAACAGGAAGGATATTTATCTAAAATCAACCAAATTATTGTAGAAAAAAGAGATGGAGAGACATGTAATACCAAGAATGTAATTGATGATAGTGATTCTGATCAAGTCAAAGCTATTGATTCTACTTTTATGGAATATGAAGGTGAGCCATATGGTGTTGATATAGACTGTTACTATGATGAAAGTATTAGCCAAACTGTAGCTGACTTTACTGCTGTGGAGAGTATTATGGAAAGTAATACTCTTGTAAGTGATGCAGAGCTTGATGAATTCTTGTATGGGCAAAGTCATCTGTCCAGTTCATTGAATTCTTTAAGCAATAGTTATAACTTAATGGCAGCTGACACAGAAGTGAATTTGAGAAATGAGAACCTGGATTTCACACAGGTTACTGAAGAACATGCTCTGACAAAACTGGAGGATATAAGTAGCATTAGTAGTAATCTTGAAGTCTCTCTTGCTGCCCATAAGTTGAAACCTCCACCAGAGGAGAGTGCATTTCATATTCAAAATGTGACTGAGCACGATAGTGAGGCACAAGTTTCAAAGCTTCCTACTGAAGGCGCAAGACCAAAGCTGTTGTGTGACAGTACACAAGGAGATGTTGGTCAGAGACAACTGAATCAAACACATGTGCTTGAGAAAGCAGTTACTCCAGAAGCTCCCTTCTCAAGGAACAGCATTACTTCTGATGAAAATTCTGAACCTGTGGGAGAAAGTGGCACTGAAGCAGGAAAAAGTCAAACTTTTCAAAGTGTAGAATCACTAAAAACACCTGCAGCTCTTCTGCAGAAACAACCGTTGTGGGTTCCTGATTCAGAGGCACCCAACTGCATGGACTGTCAAGTGAAGTTCACATTTACAAGAAGACGACATCACTGCCGTGCATGTGGAAAAGTAAGTTGTTGGTGAGGGATCCTTTTGTTACTGTAAACAAATTTACTCTGATTTAGGGATAACTGGAATGCAAAGAAGAAAGATGAATTATGTCAGCATTGTAAGGTTTTTTGTTTGGTTTTTTTTCTAAATTTTTGGACTCTTGAAGTCTTTTTTTACTTATTGTAGTCTTTTCTTTTTTGAAACTAAGAACATTTTCTTTGCATACCTTTGCTTCATCTTCAATTACTGGCTAGGCTACTGCTTTTCTTGTAACATGGAAGATGTGACACTGTAACAATCACTGCAGTGCACACTGAATCAGTTTATTACTTACTTTAGATTAAGCTTAAGTATTTAGGCATCAAAAATTTAGGCAGTGATGGTAATTAGAATTCAGAAAAGTGATTATGATAGGTGTAAAACAATATCTATTACTTTGTAAGAGTATATGTTCTTTCAGGAGCTGTTACAGAAGCAGCCATGCAAAGGACTTATAGTCTGTTGTGCACTTTGTTTAAATGTCTGCACAGTTTCCCAAGGGAGTTGTCAAGGAGGGCAGAGGGAAGTATGCTGCATCTGATCTGTGAATGGTACTCGCTAACTGAGCAAGTAATCTGTAGACTTTTCTATTTTTCCAGCCTATGGTTGTCTGCAGTGAGTAAATAATGCTGAAGCTTATTTTTAATCAAAAATAAACTTCTTTGTGAGCTATTGCAGCTTATGTGCTGGTGCATAAATACAAATATGATACTAATGGAACTGATTTTTTTTTTTCAGTGTTCCTCTGCAGCTTTATGGATGAGGAGATGGTGCAAAGGCTAGACTTACTAGCTTCTTTCATCTCATTTTAAAAGACATCTGGAGTGGCTTGTTTATTTGTTTTTCTGTGGAGTCCCTCTTCTAGTACCGTGTATTGAAAGCATAGTCCCTATTTTCTTCTGTCACAGCAGACCTATAGAAAGTGTAGATCTGCAGTGGGGTGCTGACAGAATGAAGTTCTTATTGTGACATGCTAGGTGTTATTGAACTCAGGCAGTTACATAACCTACTAAAATTTTATGACTGTTTAAAATACGGTTCTTTAGAGTCTGGCTTTGAACTTATTGAAGTTCTTGTTTATATTCACTATGAAGCTTATTCCCTGTCTTCTGGAGGGTGTTTCTATTCCTATCTCCAGTACTCGCTGCTGCTTGTAGCTAACTCCTGTTACTGTTAATCCTGTGTGTTAACAGCAGAGTGTCTTTGCATAAGACCAAAGTAATTCAGGGTGCTACACAATGCTTGTGCATTCAGAAAAAGAGTGAAGGCAGTAGAGATGATGTAACTGTTAGAGATAACAGTGCTAAGCAGCTATAACTGTCATAGCTTTTCTGAACGTGCAATACTGTTTTGCTACTTGTTTTTAAAAACAAAGTCTACTTTTTTCATGGACCCACATTGAGTTGCAGTGTTTGCTGCCAGCTTGAGGAGGAACAGTAGAAATTCACAGTTGTTCTCTGTGAAGTGTCCTAGAATTGTTAAATTTTTATGTAGTCCTATAGATTTATTATTATCAGGGAAAGTGTCAAAACTTGGGAAGTCTGGTTTCTGTGTTGGAGGAATGTGTAAGGTAGCAATAATGCCTGCTTTTTCTCCCATCTTCAGCACACAAGGTTAAATTCTCATCTCCATTTATTTAATTGTATGCTTTTTGATGTGGTACATTTTCTCTTTATAGCCCTACTAGATTTAATTTTGTTGCTCAGTAGACTCATTTTCATAGCCATTGCTCTGTTGCATTATCTGTCCTTTAGTTTGCTTCCACCTCTTGTTTCTTGTGCATTGAGATTGAGTTGATGCCTTTGTTGAGGGTCCTGATGGCACCAAGTGTAAGACAGTGGCATCTGGATTGTTGTGTTGCTCAGGATTTGAAGCCCTAAGGTTGAGATCAGCTGATTAGCAATTGATCCCTTCCAGTTACATTCTTTAACTTTACTAAACATGAGCATTTTCAGGTGAGATAAATTAATTAATATGCAAGCATTAATTGTTATGGATATGATATTAACATGGAAGCAACTGGAATGTTTATTTTATTGTCTTGCACTGATCAAATGTGACTCTTAGAATGGCTTTTCCTACTTAAAGGACTTCACTTGTAATAGCTTTTATTTTTCTTCTGTTGTTCTGTTTCTTCTTTATTTGTTTTCCTAGAGATAATCAGGAGTAGCAGAGTTAGCTTTGCTTCCACCTAAGTGTGATAAAGATTAGAGGGCTTCTGTCAGACCAAGGTTTTGAAAGTTGTTTTTTGTGAAAAGGCTAATGTTGCTTCTGGAATCCTTACATAGCTGAAAATGATACTGCTTGAAAACTTGCTAGTCCACCTTGCAAGAAAAGCAGTAGATATTTGTGGAAACGTGCAAAAAAATTAGAAACGGAATTCTGTGATGGAGACTGTAGAGGTATGGTTTGGGTTGAGAAGGTGCTTTTCCCATCCCCAACTCTCCTTTAAACCAGACAGGATATATATTCTGCTCGTGTAGAAAACAGTATTCTGTTCAAAGCGGTTTTCATGCTCTTCGGATGCTGTGCTGAAGGGACTAACAAGATGGCAAGTAATGGTGCTTTTTTTTTTTTTTTCTGGCACAGTTGAGACTACTCCAGCCAGTGTAATTCCTGAGACAGTGTTGGTAAATAGTTGGGAAGCACTGAGCCCTGGTTTGGATAGTTGTCCAAGAGTTAGCCTGGAATCTGAGAATAGAGTGCCTCAGTGCAGTGGCACTGCTGTGAGACAAATGGGTCAAGAATGGTTCCTGCTGATCTAAGAATAGATGGTTCCAACCATGCCCTGAATCTTAATGAGAGATGGTAGTAGTTATCTTCAAAGACAGCATTAAGGCAATAGAACAGATGAGTCTCATCTCTGGGGTTCAGTACTTGTTTACATCATTCTGGTTTTTCCTGTAAAGCAGTTACAAGATTAAGAGAAGTAGGAGTGAATTTGAGAATGAACTGGTGCAATTTATTTTTATTATGCCAGATAAGCATTTTAATATCATTAGTAATCAGTTGTCTTCTTTGTTGCTGTTCTTCTTTGAGTACATGTTTCCTTCCTTATTTTTCCTGAAGGTTCCGAGATACTGTCATAGACATCTTGCATGAAAGATGGATGATATAGGCTTGAATATTAAATTGCAGAGGGCCTAGAATTAAATATATATGTATTTCTTGGAAGAGTCTGTTAATCACTGTGCTATTACGTACCAGCTGCTTCCATCTATGATCTTAAAAACAAAAAACCTGATCTGTGGGCATCTGTCCTTACGTAACTAGATCAGCCCACAGCAGAACGTTTTTATGGGCTATTTGTTCTCCTGCCTGTATCTCAGAGAGTACTGGGAAGAGGTGAGTTCGTAGCTGAATAACAGAAGCATTTTTCACCATCTGCAGAAGGCTGGCTTTGTAGACTTCTAAGGAATGCTTTGGGCCAACAGAAATGCTTGACAAATTTTAGACTGTGCTGAGTAGTTGAAAATAACAAGTTACGGATCACAGTTTATTTTCTGTGTAAAACAATCTCTACTTGTATTCCACCTGTATCCCTGGGCTAAACAACTAGTACAGTCTATCCTTTCTTAACATTTCAAACTAAAATGTTCCTTCTTTGCAAGATAAACATTCTCTAGACTATTGAGGATTGAATAAAATACTTTCGAAAACACAATACAGTACCAGCTTTTAAGAAAAGATACTTGGGCTTGTTAAACAAGACCAAGAATAACTTGGAATATTGTTTTACCTTAATTGTAAATTGAAGGATCCAGAGGAAAAAAAAAAAAAAAAAGAAAAGAAAAGAAATAAAGTATTACTGCATTTTCAGCAGCCTTCCTTGGAGGCAGTCTTGATGGAAATACGCAAAGTAGCATTTTTAGGTTTTGTGCAGAATTCAGCCAGAATTCTTCAGTCATGAAGGTGATGGTAAACTTCCTTGTGCTTTAAAACTAACAAAAACAACAACTTAAAAAAAAAAAAAAAGTGTTCAACTCTTTGGCGTTTAGTTTAGTTTAGTTCTTCAGAGATTTTCAGCTGGTGCATTTCCTTAGGGTCACGAGTGTTAGCATGGCATGGTAGGCTTCCCTATTAGGAAGTTCTGTAGATCATAAGGATTCCCCAAAAAAGTGACAAGTTTGTTTGGCTGAGAGTAGAATGATGACGCATGGTGCCTAGTTAATGCTACAGAGCTGTGCTACAGCATAGTGTTCCTGAGTGTTTCCGAAAAGTGATAGGATGTAGCCTTTTTCAAAAATTTGTAGCGTGGATAGATTGCGTGCAGTTCTGGGAAACAGGGTAAGAACTCAAAAAGCAGACTTCAGACCAAACCATGAAGTTTTTAATCTTAATAAAACCCTTTCAGTTCTGGTAATTTCCCTTCTCTCAACACAGAAACATACTGTAAGAAAATGTGCTAAAGCTCCTCTTCTTCCATATTGCTGAAAATATTTTATATATGCTTTATTATCTAATTAAAATTAGATGAAATAATATAATAGAAATCTAACTCAGGAAATATTGGGACTCTGCTTGTAATATTTATTTCAATCTTTTTCTTGTTCAGGTTTTTTGTGGTGGTTGTTGCAAACGAAAGTGCAAACTACAGTACATGGAGAAGGAAGCAAGAGTCTGTACTCGCTGCTATGATAATATTAATAAAGGTAAAAAAGGTTTGGATCTTTTTGAATAACTGTAGTAATCATTAAAAAAATAATATGTACAGATAGTATCTTTAATTTGCATGCTTTTTGGCAAGCTTCCATGCTTCAATTGGGTCATCGGTGGCAGGAGCCCAAGAAAAGAGATTTTTGATCCATCATGTAGTCTTCTACATGTCGAAGGCCAGATTGAAAATCAATAAAACTGAATTTTTCTTCTGTGCAATAGCTTGAGCATTCAATTTACACAAGTAGCTCACTAAATCATGCACTGTTGTTGCAAAAAAAAAAAAAGAAAGAAAAAAAACCCAAACCCTAAGCACTGCACGCTAAAATTATTGCTTTTTTTTTTATATGTTTAAAAGTTTAAAGCAAACAATTTTTTATTTTTTAATTTAGCACAGGCATTTGAAAGGATGATGAGTCCAACAGGTCCTGTCCCTAATTCCAGTGTCTCCTCTGAGAATGCTTCTGCTCCACCTCTGCAGGAAGCCTGTATAACTGGTAATGACAGCTGCCCCTTATTTTCTTCACCATTACCCATTTCAGCACTTAAACAATCTGATAATGAAGGTATGTTTAACACAGTATATTTTAACTAACGTTTTTTCAAGATCTGCTTGGGAAGAGTTGTTTATTATATCATGGATATTATGTATATTGTGTACTATGTGGATATAGTATTGAACAGAAATTCTGTGAATTGGGACTCAAGAAACATACTCTTAGTTCTGAGTTCAGACTTCATGAGCTTGACAACATCTGTCTTGCATCCACATTTCATAAATGGAGGTTGTCCTTTTTCTATGTTTATACTGTAATTACTTTGTTCAGTTCAGATATTACTTTCCTAATTTTTTATACTGCTCAGGAGACATCTGTCATACATTTTTTACAGTAAACAAAAGTACTTCTTAAGGAAAAGGTAAGAAACAGTACAAGTTCATTCTCAGTAAACATAAACGTTTAGCCACTGAGCAGTCTTTGTTCCACTATTACTAAATACCTGACTTTCATCAATGAAAATAATTTTTCAAACATTAATTAGCTTTTTTTTTAATGTTTCATCACCTAGTAAGCATTTTATTCATATCTTATGACAAGGGGATGGTTGACGAAGAAGTTTTGATATGTAGCATGATAAGATATAGCATGACAGTTTCCTCTGCTATGATGAACTGTTTTTTCCATGTATTTACCTTATAGGATTGTGGCTGGAGTCAAGCTGTTTACGTGTGCTTGGTTTCAGTTAACAAATTCTCTATGTACCTGATGTGAGAAAGGCCTCTGAATATGTGTCTCTTTTAGTTATTAGGACAGTAAAGTAATACAGTCAGTGTTTTTTCTCAACCTATCCTAGAGTTGTGCCCCAAAGAACAGAAGAGAGTTTGGTTTGCAGATGGTATTTTGCCAACTGGTGAAGTGGCGTATACAACAAAGCTTTCATCTGGAGCAAAGAGGTCATCCCAGGACACAATACGCTCTGATGTGCCAGAGCTGCATATGGTATGATTAAGAATTGTGTGTAGAATGCATGAATTCTGCTGAAATAACTTTGTTCCATATTGATTAGGACGTACATGAACTTCAAAAATGATGTAGTAGAAAATACTAAAAATCAAGATTATTCTGTAAAGTATTTGATTAACTACTGTTATGAAGGTGTCTTCAGCCATTTGTCATTACTATGCTTATTTTTCTGTCAGTGGTTTGATATAATTTTACGTGTTTCCTAAGTTGGTCCTACAAAAAGTTGCTTCATGTAATACAATGCTGTATTATAGGGTGCAGCAAAATTAGTTTACTGCTTCTAATGAGAACAGGTACTGAACTAATACGGGAGTAAAGTTTTAAAAAAATATCATATTCATAGTGTTAAACTAGCCATGCTTGACAAGAGAGGTCTAAAGGAGTAATGTAAGTTTGCTGTGGAAAAGTTTGGAGATATTCTTTATCTGGAGCTTTTTTAAAATGAGGTACAGTTCTGAAACACTGTCTCGAGTCATGACAGTGTTCAAGAGTTTTAAAAACAATTAGTAAAGTTAGTAATCAGACCAGATCCATGTTACAAGTATATGGAGTTTCAGCAGTTGTGTGTTGCATTATCATGTAAATCAGCCTTCATTCATGAGTAATTGTCAATGGTTTATGGGCTGATTTGGCCCGGTTCTATGACTGGGGGGGTGGAGAGAGCCATGGGTCCCTGTCTCCAGGAAGGGGAAAGAGATGGGCCCCAAAAATAACAGCAGCAACCATCTGAGGAGAAACAAACTAATTTACTAAAGAAGCTATTGGAATACAAGATAACACACTATAATAGAATATAGTACAATATAATTAGAATAGTAGCTAATCAATCAGATATAATGAGAGAAAGAGTGTCTGAAAGCTGAAGGCTTTACACTAGTGCAGTGGTGATGCGTGTGGTCAGGATGAGCAGCAGGGAAGAGAGCCTGATCCTGTGACCTTGCCAGGGGCTTTATCTCCTCTCTGAATGCAAAGTCCTCTGGTGTATGCAGTTCTTCTTCTCTTCTGGGACAGTTACCCAGAATTGGAGCATTAACTCTTCAACTCCCAGTGCACTACACGATGTTATGATGTAGAATACCAATAACCAGAAGTCATAAAACAAGAACTAATAAATAACAGGAAGTACGGTTTCATTTGAAAAAGGATCCCAATAAGATGTGGGTCAAATCTGTTTTTTGTAGAGCCTGTGGTCCTCAGGAATTGTTTACAGTGACAGTAAGGAAGTGCTGGCATTTTTATGGGGTAGTCATGCCTTACACTTCTTTGTAAAAAAAAAAAAAAAAAAAAAAAAAAAGTCTGCAGTGGGGGAAATACTGCTGATATTGCTGATGAAAACTTGTCATAGTTTGAGAAGTTAATCATGCAACACTCCTCCCTTCCCATGGGAGAAGTTGGGGGAGAAAGAGGAAGAGCTGGAAATCATGTGAGAATAGCTGACTCTGCTAGAAGCACAGGAAGTGCACCTGGCACTGTTCTTTAAGCATCAAACGGCCTGCTGCATGTTGTTATGGTGTGGGATACTTAAAACCAGGACAAAATATTGCCAGAAAAGGTCATCAAGAGGTAATTAAAAGAAGTTAGGCATCAGTAAGAAATTAAAAAAAAAAAAATCCTTTCCATATGATAAACATAAGTCAAATAGCTAACTTAAGTGACAGAGAGATGGAGAACTGAATGCAGAAATTGTCTGTCCTGGACTGTGCTATTTATCTTTGTACCAGAAGAGGTTTAGGTTAGACTTAAGGAAGAACTTTTTCTCTCAGAGAGTGGTCAGGCACTGGAATGGCCTGCCAAGGGAGGAGGTGAAGTCGCCATCCCTGGCAGTGTTCAAGAGGCGTCTGGGCGAAGAGCTGCAAGATCTGGTTTAGTAGCTTGTGGTAGCAGTGGTAGTGTGAAGATGGTTGGACTAGATGATCTTATAGGTCATTTCCAACCTTGTGATTCTGTGATTCTATAATCATACTCACTGATAATAAAAAGGGTAACATTTTTCACAGTGAAGGCAGATAGATTCTGAATATTAAAATGACAGGTGTCATTTGCCACAAATTGCAGAATTAGGAGTGTATGAGTGGCTGAACTTACTAATGTTACTTCTACTGCTATCTCAATTACAAAAAGGAAGACTTAAGGTCAGTGATCGGTCTTAAGAAAGTACTTAAGTAGTTGTTTAAAAAATGAAGTAAATTGGAGGGAACACAAGTGGAAAATTGTCATGACAATAAATGTATCCCTCTTGTTTCCAGAACCTAGCAGTTCTTGCTCTACTCATCATAGTAACCAAAAGATACAACCTGTCTTCTGTTTTGATGAGAGTAGGTTATTTTCACTTACGGAAGATAAACGGTGTCTAAAATTAAAAGCATCATGAACAAAGAAACAGTGAGTTGATGGTTCTCTTGTACAGCTTTAGGAACTCAGACAAAACTGCTATGTTGCAGCTCCTAAGCTGTGGATGTCCTTTACTAGGTAGCATGTAATCCTGAGCATGCTGCCTCAGACTGCTGTGAAGGCCAAAAGTATAAAGTGATCTGCAAAGCCAGCAAGTGAATTTGTGGGAAAGGAGTTTAGTAGAGGCTGTTTTAGTCACACTTCTTTCTCTCTCATCTTCTGGCACGTGTTCTCTAAGCAGGAGATCTGATGAAAGCTGAGGGCATGCCAGGAGAATTAATACAGGACAAGCATAGTGTTGTTGCATTTTTATCTTGTTACAATTCAATCTTTCCTGCTGAAACAGTGTGCAAATCTACAGGGATTTACAATGTGATGACTCAATATATTTCACATCCACCTTTGTTTTGATGACAGTTCATTTCATAATGTGACTGCACTCTTGGTTTATTGTATGCATTTCACTGAGGGAGCAGCATAGGTTTGACACCAAACCAAAAATGAGTTGAACTGTACAATGCTAGACTTGGCTGTTGTTTCCAAGTGAAGAAACAGTAATACTAATGGGTTGCTCAAGGGATACTTACTTTATTGTTGATTTTTGTTAAATCTGGCTATATGCTAAAATGATCTACAGCACTGTGAGAATTCTGTATTACCAAACAAATAAAATAGCAATTCATCTTCACCTTAAATGGGGGCTGATGTGACCTTTAAGAACAAGGGGGAATGCAAGACCCACAGTAGATTTGGTGAGTTACTTCTTGAATAAATAATTAATTTCCTGTCAATTTGGTAGATTTCTTAGTCCTTTTCTTTCTTCTAGAATGCTATCATGGAAGTTATAGAAGTTATAGTTTGTTGTGAAACTAGAGTATAGATCTTCTTTATTCTCATAGGGTGCAAATGCAGAGGAAGATGATATACCAACCGATGTAAATTCAAAACCAAAAGAAGAAATGGATGTTATTACAAAAACAGAGGGATTATGTCCTTCTTTTCCTTCAGAGGATGCACAACAAACCATTTCCAGCCAGAGTGAGATGACTGATAGTGATAAATCTCTAATTCCAGACACTAAAGAGTGTTCTTCCACCATGGAATCTGAGAAGACTAGAACTAACATAGTAGATCGGGCTAAAAGTGATATGCCTGTTAGTCCCACAAGTTACAGAGCACTTTGTGGTGTTGAAAACTGTGTTCGGAAAGACATCAGCCTTCTTCCAGATGGTGATAAACTGCCACCGCTTCTGCTTGCCATGGGTGAAAAAGGAAAAGGTAAACAATTGTCAGTACTGCGTCACCAGATGCAGGATTTATAAATGTGAATTTTAGTACAGTAATACAACTTTAACCTCTCATCTGTGCTGCACGTTGGATTGTTCGTTAATTAAAAATGAGTTATTAAAATGTGAGTATATTATGAAAATAACAATCACATAAACCCATTATAGCAGTGATTGTTTTCATTGTAACTAACAGCAATATGTGAGTTGAAGAAACAACACAGACAATATGAATAACTACCAAATAACTAGTAGCCCCAGATCATGCTTTTGTTATAAATGACTGCTTTATTTTTGTATGGCCTTTGAATCTTTTGGTAAGCTACTGAATAGAATACGTGGTTGATCCACAACTTGTTCTTGAACTTCTTCTAAGTTTGAGAATAATTAAAAGCTTTTTAAGGTAGGAAAGTAATGACAGCCTTTCATATACTGTCATCTGATTTTTTTTTTTTATTTTAGGTAGTTGGCTGGCATGTTGAACTAAATCAGATATTAATTTCTTTAGATCCGTTAGTGGAAGAACATCTGTCACACCAACTGGTCGCCCTGCTTCTTGAGAAAGGAGGTGCCAGACCATTAACTTTTATCCTAAATGCAAACTTGCTTGTGAATGTCGAGTTAATATCTTGTAAGTAGTGTGCATTTTCTTTTCCACTAAATCTATTTTTCTGATTGTAAAGATCAGCATTACTGTGGTCTCTGTCTTTTTAATTGAAGATTCTTCAGAAAAATGCTGGTACTTCTCAACAAACGGGCTACACGGTTTGGGGCAGGCAGAAATTGTAGTTCTGTTGCAGTGTTTGCCAGATGAGAAGACTTTTCCTAATGAAATATTCAAATTATTTATTGACATCTATAAGAATGCAGTAAAAGGTACGTAATCATGTCTGACATTATGCTATGATATTTTCTTGTTTGTCTTCAAAGTTGGAAGTTTGTGCAATTTTTATGCGTTTATAGGTATCTGATCTGGTTGAAAAACTTTTCAGTGTTTAGCCTTTGTTTCTAAATAAACAACAGAAAGAAAATGTACCTTTCTCTGGCTCAAATACTCCTGTAAATATCTAGTTAGCATTTTCTGTAACTGTTCTTAATACATATGGTCTTGGAGATTCTGTGCATAAGTCCCTGTATCTATGGCTTAGGATATCTGGGACTTCATTGTATGTACAGTATACATAATTGCAGTATACATAAAGATGAATGTGAAGTCTGTTAATTGAAGTTCATCAACTGAGGTGTGCCAGAACATTGTGTACTTCAGGGTTTTTGATATTCTGGGGGAAAAAAAAGTCTGCTTTCATTTTCAAGTCTATCTAGGTAATAAGTGTGTAGAATATTTCTGTGGAGTTAGATGTCTCTCAGGTTTTCGGGAAGATATGAGATATACTTTGTGATTTGCAAGTCTCTAATGAAGGGATGATGGTAGTAGTTTTCTTCACAATAGCATGTTATTTTTTTAAGAAGCACCAACACTCTTTCTCACCCTCTTTCAACAGGGAAGTTAATAAGAAACATGGAAAATGTTACGTTCAGTGAAAATTTTCTCAGTAATGAAGACCATGGAGGATTCCTGTTTGTTTCACCTACTTATCAGAAACTAGATGATTTAATGCTACCAGATAACCCTTTTCTTTGTGGCATTCTAATCCATAAGCTGGAAATACCCTGGGCAAAAGTTTTTCCGATTCGGTTAATGTTGAGATTGGGAGCAGAATATGGGGGTAAGTTTTAGTACTTCAAATAGCTTCAAATAGTATAAATATAAAACTTCCTTTGAAAAACATAACTTTAGTAGTCAAAGAAAATATTCAAAACTACATTTGCAGTATTTCATATTACTCTTGCATAAGGCTGAAGTTCTATATGCAAGAACTGTTGGTCCTGTTGAGACACCTGGAAATTTACAATATTCTGCTACACTTACTTGGTTCTTTCTTATGTTAGCTGAAGGTGGTTAGACTTAAAAACCAAGTCTGACACTTTAAAAAAATTAAAAGTTTGACTTCTCTTGTCACTGGAGAAAGTTTTGAAGGCAAGTTCACCTGCCTAATTGTCAATTTTGAAAAAAAAACAAAAACAAAAACAGAAATGGAATACGTGGGTAAAATATTAGTGCTTCATTAAATGGATAGATGTCTTAATTACTTTAAACGATAACATACTAGTTAGCTCACTTGAAATCTCAGTATTGAAAAATGTCGAAGTCATTCTCTCAAAATGAGGTGTAGGGAAAAGTACATAGTGTATATACCACAGGTTGTGCAGTCAGAAGGCCTCGCATTCAGCAGTCTCTTTGCTGCTTTACGTGACTACTCTCCGCTCCCCCAGTTAGATCTTTACTCACTCTGCTCCAAGCTCACTGGAGGAAACTATTTTTACAAATCAGTATTGCCTTCAAAAGCAGATAAAACTCGCACAAGACCTGAAAGTAGAAGCTACCCTAAATACCTTCTAAAGTTGCTTGTGTGCTTTTTTTGAATAAACAGGCACTAATTTAGAGGTATAAGTACTGTTTTGTTTCCTGTTGTGTTGCCCCTTATTATTTGGAGACCAGGAGTTTTGGAAGGGTGCAACATGCAGATGTTACTTAAGTGGGATGAATTTCAAAAATATCATACTCAACTTTCTGACATTAAATGGGCTTTTGATAAATAAAGAGTACCTTTTTAGAAGCATCAGGTCTATAAAAATGCATCATTCACTTGTTTGTGGGTTTGAGTGAATAGCGGAGTTCTGCTGTCCAAGCTTCTGCCTGGGAGTTGACAAGGGTGGTATCTTCTTTGTCATACTTTTCTCTTATAAATTTAATTGACATTTTTTTACTAGCCATGCACTTCCTTGGACTGATCTCATGATCTTGATTTTTGCACTGTTTATTTTACTTTCAAATGACTTCATGTGATGATGTGTTGGTCTCCTGATCTCTTTCCCTAATTTCCAACTGCATGTTTTCTACTACAGCCACGGGACTGCAATGCAATTAGAAGCTTATCATTTCGTATGGACCACTTCATTCTTGTTTATTAATGCTAAGTGGTACTTCAGTTCATTCTGCAACATTAATATAAAATTGGATATTACTTATATAGTACTTGTGTTTAAGAAAGTATTGAACCTTGCAGCCCCTCTCACTACTGGTAACACAAAGACTGAACCAAGGGTGTTTCCTTTCAGCTCACCCTTTGCAAGAAACATAGCTGGTCAATCACAGAGAAAGAAGCTGCAGGTCTGTGCCACAAGATTTCTGCTGCCTGGGAAGTGACTCTAGAGTAGTAGAGATATTGCAGTAGAATTTAAGTGTGGGTGAGGAAATCATGCAGTGGACTAAGGGGTTGTCAGCAAGTAAGAATCACAGTGGCTCTAGTTCCCTTGAATGTTCAGATATTGAAATTAAGAAACTTGGTCTATAACTGAAAATAAATACTTACAACTATAAAACTTGTAAGTGTGACTTTATTTCCTCTATTCCAGTATATCCATCTCCTCTAGTAAGTTTCAGACATCGAAAGCCAGTCTTCGGAGAAATAGGACACACAATTATGAATCTACTTGTTGTGAGTAATTATTTTATTCATTTCATTTCCTGTTGTAATCCAGATTGTGTAAAATATTCTCAGATTCTTTAAAGCTGAATTGCTTTTGTCAAAGTTAAAGAACTAACTTTTTCTTCAGAGCTGACTCAGAAATTCCTTACTTTAGTATGTATTAAGTGTGAGCTAAGAAAGTGTAGTGATTTCACCCTGATGGCAGCTATACCCCCACAGCCACCCTTTTTCTCCACAAATAAGGAAAAAATACAATGAAAGAGGGATCAAATGTTGAGATAAGAACAGGGAAATCACTCATTAGTTATTGTCAAATCAAACTCAGTATAAATTATATTAATGTCCCTATTACTAACAAAATTAATTGACTATAACTAACAGGGTGATTTCTTACTAAGGGCAACTTTCTTGCTAAGAGCAAACCTCCCCATCTACCCTTTACCTCCTTCTCCCAAAACGTGCAGGTGAACAGGGAATGTGGGCTGCAGTCAGTCCATAATGCTTCATCCCTGATGCTCTTTAATGGTTACTCTCTGCCCCTGCTCTATGTATGTCCCACCCACAGGACGCTGTCCTTCTTGAATTGATCCTGCGTGGGCTACCTACAGGCTGCAGCTCCTCAACGCACTGTTCCAATACAGCTCCCTACTATGGGGCTCATGCTTCAGGAGCTGCTCCAGCACAGTCCCTACAGGCAGCAGCTTCACTAGCCCTCCTGCACTATGGGCTGCTTTCCTTGAGCTGCAGCTGTGGACCAGGGCCTGCTCCTGTGGGGTCTCTTCATGACTTTCTCCAGACCACGTGCATCTCTTCCATCATGGGCTCCAGCATGGACTGCATTTCTGGTCATTTCTTAACCATGTTCCTCCATTGGCTTCTTCCAGCATTGCTTAGGGCTCAGGTCTGTCCTGCAGTGGGTCCCTTTGGGAGCTGACTGGAGCTGGATCTGTTCAGACATGGTGCAGCTGCTGGGCTGTGCTCTCTTAACAACTCCCCTGCTGCCAAAGCCTTGTCTTGTAAACCTAGTACTGTCTCATGCATCATAATGGTTATAGCACAGTTCCTGGTTGAAAAAAAATAGTTTTAAATAATGAGAAGAACTTTAGAACTTACATTGAAGCTGGTAGCAGTTGCCATTTGGTTGCAGTTTTCTCTTTCAAATACTGCTATGGTGCAAGAATTCTAGTCTTAAAAATGGTATTTCGTTAAATTTGAAAAACAAACTTGACAGGCAGATACATTTTCTAATTGTAACGTTAATTGCTTTGAACTTCCCGTTGATGTGATTAACCAATCTGTGTTATACAAAGACTTGATTTCAGGGTAAGAACTTTTTCCTTTGTTTCTCAGATGATTTTATGTGAAATTCCAGTAAACTTCTATTCCTGTCCAGTAACTTTTCTCTTCAAATACTTGCATAGAATTTATCCTTAATGCTGTAAGCAAAAGTGTTAGAAATGTGGAGAAAATTGCACGTACTTACATGATCACTAAATCCTCTCAAATGTGGAAAATCATTACAGCTTAAAGGAAACAGCAATCTTTGGCACTCTTCTGTTTTTCCTGTTGTTGATATCTATCTATGTCATGGCATAGAGAATCTATATGAATCAGAGCTGCACTAATATAGGGAATATAATAATAATAGGGAAAGCAAGTAATTAGACAGCTTTTTTTTTTTCTTGATGGAGGAATCTTAAATCTCAATTCTGTGAGCCTGCTCCCTGCCTTGCTAGTGTTGGGACAGTACCAATATGAGGTCAGAGGAAGGACTTGAGGGTGGAAGGGACCGAAATATGAGGGAAACTTCCTTAATCAGCTTAAGCCTTTGTATTATTCAGGAAGTGCCTAAGCTACAAATAAATAAAATCTAGAAGAACAGCCTGGAAAAGACAGGCAGGCACCCAAAGGGTAGGATAAATACATCAGCGTGCACTTCTTGCTGCAGCAAAGAATGTGTTCAGATGGATTTGCCTTAGTCTCTGATGTTATATCCATTCCTTTTTTAGCCTGAGTTCCACCTTCAGGCTCAAAACAGGCAGTGGGAATATGTGCTCCTTGGCAAGATTACCTCTTCTGATGTAGCAAGAGTTTCTAGTCATTGTAGAAAGGCTGCAAAAAGTTCTCATGTAACTTAACAAGATGTTAAGAATATGTTAAACTACATATGGCGCAAACTCAGTTAAAGATGATAAAATCTAGCACCACAGAAGTGACTGAGGTGGTGGTAAATGGTGAAGGCAAGGTATGTCTGTGATAATATCCTTTATACCATCAAATAATGCCATTTGAACTGAAATCTGCAGTACAGTGAGACCTGTTCATAAATAGCTCTTGCTACAGCTGAACTGACTGGGGAAGATACTGATTTCCTAGTTCAATTGCTGATACAAAACTTACCGGCCTTTTCTAGGAAAGGCAAATGAGACCATTTTACATCTATCATCAATCTTCCAGAACAGAACAGAATGTGGAAATTCGCAGAAGTGGCTGATGGATGGTAACCTCTGTCAGAGGGAGGTATAATGAACAGTGTGAGACTCAAGCAGTACTTCAAGTACTCAAGAGATTGCAGAATCATAGAACAAAATATCCTGAGCTGGAAGGGACTGATAAGCATTGTCAAGTCTTAACTCCTGGCTCCACATGAAGCTAAGAATTAAACCATATGTTTGAGAGCACTGTTCACGTGATTTCTGAACAGCAGCAGTCTTGGGATTGTAACCACTGCCTTGAAAAACCATTCCAGGGCCTAGTCACTCTGTCAGTGAGTTAACTTTTCCTAATATCTATTCTGAACTTGTCACTGGTCACCAAATTGGAAATCAGCACCTCCCTTTCACTCTCCTCCACTGAGTGATAGACAGCAATGAAGTCTCCCTTCCATCTCCTGTTCTCTAAGCTGAACAAATCAAGTGACCTTGTCCACTCTTTCTGTTGAAGTATTTCACATTATCTAAAACATTACAAGATCCCAATGTGCATAAAGTAGCCATAGTTGAAGTAAGCCACTGTTAAATAGTACAGCCACTTCATGAATGCTACAGATTTGTTAATATATCCATTAAGGTACTTTTCCAGTGAATCACAGCAGAGGAGGGGAAAGAACGTTTTTAGCTACTTCTAATGACTTATAGGAAGCCTGGAGATGGATGTAAAGTACTTAGTCTTTAAGATTTATTCTAAAATGTATGGAAATAAACTGTCTGCTAACATCTTTGTCTTAGCATATTATCTTTATCTATTGCAGGACCTTAGAAACTATCAATATACTTTGCATACAATAGACAACCTATTTGTTCATGTGGAAATGGGTAGGAGCTGTATTAAAATACCCCTAAGGAAATATAATCAAGTAAGTTAAACTATTCCAAACTGCTTTTATCTTTTTTTCATATAATACCAATCACATCTTCAACATGACTTCTTTTATTAATGGTGGGAGGAAGGCTGAGGAGAAAGAGTAGTTCTTAGAGGCAGTAGTGCTTTTATTCTCCGATCAGTGTCCATGCAGTTCTGCAAGTGATTTCTTCACTTAATTGAGTTCTCCAGTGTGCTCTTTGCGATGTAGTAGACTCTTTGAAGCGTGTGATATCTGGGGAGAAAGTGTGAAATTCAGTGTGCACATGCTCTTTTTCCTGGATATGTTAGAGTGGATGATGTGTGGAAATAAGTCATTTTTTAGGATAACTGTTAACTGTGGAAGATGAGCAATTTCAGTGAAGTGTTCTAGCATGCATTTCCAAGGAGCATCTCCTATGTATTTCCTATGGTTTTACTTAAAACATAATTTTTTAAAAAGCCAGCATAGTTCTTATTGCAATCTGTTTAATAGAGCTTTAACAAGAAAAACTGAGTAATATGAGAGTAGTAATATAATTAACTAAAAAAGCTTAGTATATGGTTTCATGACCAATAAAATCTCTGCAGCTCTGATATTGTGTTGACCAGCAGTTTTTAGATTTTCCCTCTCAAAGTAGTATTTTCAATCATTCTTAATTTGACTCCAGCTAGTCAGCTTGAAATTTCTTGTAATTAAGCGAATAATTCTGCTAGATTTTTCTAATGTCTTGTATTTAAAATGAGCACTCCAGAATGAGGTCTGTCCATTTAATAACAAATCTTACATTGGCAGGTGATGAAGGTGATAAATTCCTCTAATGACCATGTAATTAGCATTGGAGCCAGTTTTAATACTGAAGCAGATTCTCACTTTGTGTGTGTGCAGAATAAACAAGGTCTCTATCATACACAAGCAAACAGCACTAATGAACATCCTAGGAAAGGTAAGCTGGTGTGCTTATGGGGAACAATTACAATTCTAGAGCAAAAGTCATAGGAGTGTGGAATGGTTTGGGATGGAAAGGATCTTTAAAAAGCTTCTAGTTCTGACTTCCTTGCCATGGGCAGTGATGCCTCCCTGTAGTCAAGGTTGCTTAAAGTTCCATACAACCTTCCAGTTCAGTTTAGTTTCACTAGTAACACTGTCAGTTTCAGGAATATCTTTTGTAAATAAATTTAATTTAAAGTTGTGTGGCATTATGTTTTTAAAAAGTTGAAACATCACAACACTGTTCTCTTAACCGTCTCCTCTTTGCATATTGGGCTCTTTCAGTGTGCCTGTTGCCCATCTTTCAGTATCTTACAGAAACATTGTATGCACTCATAAAATGAGAAAGGCAGTCTTTTTTTTTTTTTTTTTTTTGCTACAGCCTAGTGTTTTTTGTACCAACTTGTGACTAAGTTATTCGTATTATCACTTTAAGTGTAGTGATACCTCTTCTGTCCTGTTTTGTTTTTTTTTTTTTAATTAAAACATTAAAATATATTTTTAATTTTAAAAAGGTAACGTAAGTTATTTGACTTGATGGTAATGTCTAACTTGCCCAGGGAGGTGGTGGAGTCGCCGTCCCCAGCAGTGTTCAAGAGGCATCTGGACTAGGAGCTGCAAGATATAGTCTAGTAGCTTGTGGTAGCAGTGGTAATGTGAAGACAGTTGGACTAGATGATGTTATAGGTTGTTTCCAACCTTGTGATTCTATAATTCTATGAAACTTGAGTAACATGTAGTGTCACTCCTTCTTCCTATTTTTTTCTAGTTACAGGTGCAAGTTTTGTGGTATTCAATGGAGCCTTAAAGACATCTTCAGGATTTCTAGCTAAATCCAGCATAGTTGAAGGTAAGAATTGTACTTAGTATCTGTTCTGCAGAGGGTTTTAAAAATAAAAATTAGCCTTGTGCAAGATCTTTGTTCCACTCTAAGCCTTTCAGGACTTTTTAATTTGTAGAAAACCTATAACAAATTAATTGTGCTTTATAAAAGGGCATGCTAGTTTATCTGTTGCTTTTATTACATTATAAGTTTTAACTCTTCACATTAGTCAGTGCAAACATTTCCTTTATAGCTGCCAGTATTTAGAAGTATGTTCATTGCTGTATTGATGAAATACATACATTGACACGTATATGCCAGAAACTCATCATTTGTCTAAGATTGCTTTACTAGTCTTAGCTCTATTGACTAGAAAGGCTTTCACTACTTCTCACTCTTATCATGGAGGATTTAATGCTGTAGTTTCATTTGGAGACCAAGTTAGGACTTGCTGCAGGAGAGGGTTGATCCCACTAATATTTAAGCCAGGACTACTATAAAGTGTTGCTGCTCTTCCTGTAGACAAGTGAGGATTTTGACTGATTTTCTTGTAGATGGATTAATGGTCCAAATAACACCAGAGACAATGGAAAGCCTACGTCAAGCATTAAGAGACAAGAAAGACTTCAAAATAACTTGTGGCAAAGTGGATGGAGAAGATCTAAAAGAATATGTAGATATTTGCTGGGTGGAAGATGAAGAAAAAACAAACAAAGAGTAAATATATTAGCAAAGCATATAACTCTCATGTTCCTAACTTTCAAATATCTGCTTTTTATTTCAAGAAATTAATCTAAGACATCTTTATTCAGGTAATTTGCTGCTAAGACCTGTAAGGACAGTAAGCTGCCTGCTCTCCTCTAGATGTCACTAGCAGAACAGTTTTGTTTGTAGTGTTTACCAAAATCAATACCATTTTTCTTTGTTTGGAAAGCTGACAGGAAGAGTTTGTGAAAACCTGATGTCTCTAATCAGACAAATCACTAACCATTTTAAGGATGTAGTTAATCCCTTTAAGTTTCTGGAGTTGAGGGCTTGGAAGTGCACTGTACTGCTCTTTGCCACTCACTGCTTACAATGTCAGCATTTAATTAAAAAAAAAAAAATCCTTATTCCCTGTGATTTGAACAGTTATATGAATAACTTCAAACTTTAAGTACACATCATTAACTCAAAACTTGCCTCATGTTAACCCAACTCTTTCTCACATGGTGGGGTTGTCTTGGCATGCTTTTTGGTGTTTTTTTTGGTTTGGTTTTTTTTTTTTTGTGGCTTTTTTGATTGATTAGAACAAAAGGAGGCTTTAATTTTAACGGAGGCAGCTTCAGTTTCACAGACCTATAAGGTAAGGTTTTTATTGAGTAAGTGTTGTTTGTTCCCTGTTTAGGATACTGTTTTTTGTAGCTTCTATATTATTATGATGCAAATCCTGTATTATTTTGTTATAGAGCTGTTAAATGGCTTTTAAAGATAACTAAACATTATGCTTCAGAATGAGAAAACATTTATGAAACAAAATGTTATTGCAATTGTTGACGAAACTACTCTCTTCCATAGAATTTTAAGCCAGGTAGATGGAAAATCGATGGAAGGAACTCGGAGTGAAAAAATACCACACACCAGAGACTTTGAGAGAAAAGGAAAAGTTTTGAAGTGCACTGAAGTTAGTAAATTACATTATACTTGAACTTTTTTTACTCTACTACTTAAATAGTTAAGTGCTAAAACGAGTACTAAATGTTACTATTAAAGAAACTAAACTATGCATAGCCATACCAATCTGTGAACTGTTTTGTAATTCTGTGATAAGTTTATATACTTTATATTATTTTCCTCTGAAAAAGAGTAAATGCTGTAAGTCTGTTAGCACTGTTAGCTCTGAGAGTATGAAATCTAGATATTCTCATGGTTACTTAAGTATTTTGATTGAACAAATGAAACTCTAGGAATATTATGCCAGCAAACAAGCATTGGTAGCTCACTTTGTTGTGTTAACTGAATACTGAATTACTTATTTTTTTTACTTTTTATATGACCAGACTACTGAATATCCTTATCATTTCTGTAATTTCAGGTGTATTATTTCCTAAAGGACCATGAACTACCCAGTCCTGCTCATCTCCAGTTCGCTAAAGACATTGCTACTGCCTGCTGCACTGCTCTTTGCCCACACCTTAAAACGTTGAAGAAGAATGGGATGAATAAGATAGGCCTGAGAGTTTCAGTTGACTCAGATATGGTAATCTTTCAACTTGTATTGTATATACTTCAATTCTGAAACCTTTCCTGTAAAGAGCTTTGGATGTCTTTCTGAATGTTCCTAGTTTTTATCCTGTCCCAGATCCAGACTGAGAATGAAATTTCATTTAGGAGCTGTCTTAATGACTAATAGTTCACAAAAGAATTACTTCTGTTTCCCTTTCTGCCCTATGCCTGTAGAAGCTGTTTGCTGTAAGTTACCAGTTTTTGTCTGGTTCTGACTCTTTGGCACTTGTGCCATAGGGTGAACTAGTAAAAGGAATCATAGAGCTAATTTTCTGATGCTTTTCTTGATGTAGTTTTCTGCTACTTTAGCTCCTGACATTGGTAAGACATTTGCTCCAGCATTTCTACAGGTTTGCTTAGCTCCATCTAGTATGCGATGCTCCTAAAAAGACTGCAGAATTCTGAAGCTGGAATACACTTGTCTGAAGGAAGTAAACTGTAAAACTTCCTTATCTTTAAGAGAAGCTGTAAATACTCCTTTAAATTATTTTTCAATAATATACTTTGAAATTAATAGTCACTGTGGTGATATAATACAATCAGATCATTCTTGACGAAAGTCTCAAGTGGTGTGAGACGCAGAGGATGTGTAGTTTGGTAAACCTAGACATTCAGTGACAATTCTAATAGTTCATGATTGACCTGGAAACCTACCCAGTTCCTAGTGTCTGTGTTATTTTCTGTCTGTGTGATGCTAGGTGAAATACTGATTTATTACTACACACTTGTATTTTTTGTTAATAGAAGAAATGTTAATGTGTTTCCATTTTAGGTTGAGTACTTGGCAGGATCTGGGGGCCACCTTTTTCCACAGAAGTACCTGAATGAATTGGACAGAGCTCTGATTCCTGTGATCCATGGTGGGATGTCAGATCCTGCAAGCTTACCGCTGAAAATGGAATTAATGTTTTTCCTTATGGAACATTTATTTTGAGACTAATTTCTGGCAAGATACTGATTTGCTAGCTCTGAACACCAAAGCTCAGTACATCAAACACTAAAGATCAAATTTTCTAAAACTGTTTTGATTTTAATTGATTTTGAAACCGAATTTAAACAAAACAAGAATCTAACTTCCATTTGTTACTTTACCACAAGAAGCAAGTGTAGTTTGTAATGTTCTGTAATGTTCTGAAACTTTACACTTAATACAGCTGCAGAAGAAGGCAGTCGCTTACCTCTGTACACCACTGTAGCATTTACATTGTTTAGTGTAACTTCCAGCCATGCTATCTTGCCTCTTAACATCAGATAAGTATTAAAGAAATTGCTGCAGTCAGATCTAATGTCAACCTGAAGCATCTGCTTTCCATGTGCAAAGAACTTTTTTGCCATTTGAGGTACAAACATGAAATCTTAGGTTGCTGACTGCATACTTCGCCATTTATACTTGTGCCGGTACAATTATAGGCGGACACCTCTTGACACTTGTTTTTGATCAGCACAAGTAATCATAGAATGGCTTAGAGTGGAAGGGACCTTAAATATCACCTAGTTCCAATCCCTTTGCCATGGGATGGGGCTGCCCAGGGCCTCATCAAACCTGGCTTTGAGCATCTCCAGGGATGGGACACCCACAGCTTCTCTAGGCAGCTGGGCTGCCTCAGCACCCTCTAAACAACATTTTCCTAACATCTAACCTAAATCTCCCCTCTTTTAGTTTAAAGCCTTTCCACCTTGTCCCTGCACTATTTGACTATGTAGAAGTTAATCTCCCTTTAAGTAGTGGAAGGATGCCATGAGGCTTGGGGTCCCCAACACAAAAAGAGGCAGAGCTGTTGGAGCTGGGTCCAGAGGAGGGCCACAAAGATGATCAGAGGGCTGGAGCACTTCTCTTTACTAAGAAGCAGTGAGGGAGCTTGTTTCTTTCAAACCTCATCAGATTTCTGTGGGCCCACTTCTCAAGCCTGTCCAGGTCCATTAGGATGGCATCCCTTCCTTCTGTTATCAGCTGCATTACTCAGCTTGCTGAGGGTGCACTTGATGCAACTGTCAATCTTATTGATAAAGATGCTGAGGAGCACTGGTCCCAAGACAGACCTCTGAGGGGACCTGCCTCAGCTTGGAGGTAGACCCATTGACCACATCTTCCTGGCCATCGTATATTCCACCCTTCAAAACCCACATCTCTCCAATTTAGAGAGAAGAATGTGGTGGGGGACCATGTCAAAGGCCTTGCAGAAACAACCTGGGTAGATGACATCAGTTGCCGTTCCTCTGTCCACAGATTCTGTCACTCTTATCATAGAAGGCCACCAGATTGACTGGCAGAATCTGCCCTTGGTGAAGCTGTGCTGGCTGCCTCGGATCACCTGCTTGTTTTGCATGTGCCTTAACACATGTTCTAGGAGGATCTGCTGCATAATCTTCCCAGGTGCAGACCCAGGCCTGTTGTGCCCTAGGTCTTCTTGCACTGCCCTTACAGTGGAAAGGATTTTGCTCACCCGGCCTCAACCTGTTACGTTCAGGAACATAACAGACGTGGAAAGCCTGAGTAACACTGAAGACTGAGTCAGCCTTCTCCATGTCTGTTGTGTTTAGTTCTCCTAAGCTATCAGAAGGGTACGCTCTCCTTTGCCTGTCTCTTCCAACCAATGTACCATAGAATCTCTTCTTGATATTTTTCACATCTCTTGCCAGGTTTCGTTCCATCTGTGCCTTGGCTTTTCTGATTCCATCTCAGCAGGACAACTGGCCTTGTTACCTTATTGGAGGAGCCCACACATTCCTTTGGGACAAATCTGAGGTTTTCCCCTCCTCCTTTGTAAAGTGACAGTGTTCCCTGGTTCTTCTCTGTCACTCAGCAGTACATCCCATTCCCTCATCAAATCTATTAAAAAAAAAAAATTGCAATTAAGTTTACAACAGTATTGTAAGTGAAGTCCTGACTTAAGATACCATGCTGGTGCTTCAGGACCATATGCTTCTGAATTACTTTTTGTAGAAAAACTGATTTAATTCTTGAATTTATAGGGATTTGTCTTATTAAAACAGATGCTATTTTTATAAATATTGGTCTTTTTTTTCTTTTACTGGGTGTTCAAAAGTCCAGATGCAATTTGACCTTTCAAGGATTAATAAAAAGCCAGATTATCCTTGAAGTAATCTACGTGTAGCAATAAAACAGGAATTCTGCACTATCTTTTCTGCTTCCTTCTCCTGCTTTTCTTACCTCTCGGTAGCCTCCTTTATTTTCAGGGAGGACAGATGTATTAAGTGTGAGTTTTCATGAACAGATTTAGTACTGTATGTATTTTTTTATATTGGGTGCTTAAAATCTATTTATGTACTCGGGATGCATGTGATTTGTACCAAGGTTCCATGAACCAAGGATTGGTAACTGTCACAACTCTCTACCAAAAAGAAAACAACGAAGCCAAGTCCAAGTCGATGTTGTTTTCAGTAAAAATGCTGGTACAGGTCTATGAGGCTATTAACACTTTGCTGTCTTCTTGATGCTCACTGGGGATATTTCGTGTTTTTGTCTCAGACGCAACTTGTCGCTTAACCTCATCAGCTCCGTGCTTAGAAAACAAGCGTTGGAAGATGTCAGGCCTGGAGGACACTGGGGATACATTAGAGCTGATTCTTCGGCAGTTGTGGAGGGGAGCCGGGGGCCGCACGGTGGGCAGCTGCGCGCAAACGAGTCGTGCCTCCATGCTACCGCGCGACCCTCCGCCTTTCCTCTGGTTGACGAGCGCAGCGAGGTGCAGGCGGCCTTCCTGCGTACGTCTGCGGTCAGGTAACCAGAGGAACCGTTCTGCCATTTATCCTGTACTAACGATGTCTAGGAGTTAAATAAAGCTTCTCTCTTATTTAAATAAAGCAGTCAAGCGTGCCTTGCCGACCGTCTCAAGTTTGTCGTCCCCCTCCGCGCAGGGCTGCCGGCCGCTTTCGGCACCGCTGCCCCGCAGCCCCCGCCTCTCGGGGCGGGCCCGGGCCGCGGCCATGGCGGCCGAGCGGAGCGCGGTCAGCGCGGCGGGTTCGCCGCCTTTCGCCCCGCTCCCTGCCGGGGGCCGCGGCGGCGCCGCGCTGAGGGCCGTCCCGCTCGGTGCCGCGGGAGCGTGGAGCGAGGCGGCGGTGGAGCACTTCCTGAGGGCCGGGCGCCTGGCGGCCAGGGACGGGGCGGAGATCCGCTGGTGGCACGCGGCGAACAGCCGGCGCCAGGCCCGGGAGGCCGCCCGCAGTAAGTGCCGGCCGGAGGGAGCCTGCGCTCGGCGGCCGTGCAGTGGCAGCGAGGTGAATGTGAGCCAGCCGCGTGCCCTGGCGCCCAAAGGCCAGCCGTGCCTGGGGTGCATGGGGCCCGGCGCTGCGAGGGCAGGGGTTGTGCCGCCGTGGTGCTCTGCGTTGTACGGCCTCACCTCCAGCGCTGTGTGCGGGCTGGCGGTGTGAGAAGGACGCAGAACTATCAGAGGGTGCCCGAGGGGGGGCTGCAGACGTGAGAAGGATATGCAGGGGGGGCACGTGTGAGGAGTGGCTGAGATACCTTACGCTGCCGTTGCTTGGCCAGGTAACACAGTCAGAGCTCAGTTTTCCCTTGGCCACTGATTTCTAAAGATCCCAGTGACTGAAGTACCCCAAAATGTGTCTTGGTTGCATCATAGGCAGCAGCTTGTACTCTGTGATCCTCGTGGTGTAAATGAGCACCGTTTGGTGTGGGAACTTTCCCTGCAGTTATGGTTAAGCAGGCACTGGAAGTACTGAATTTGCTCTGTTGCAGTGTTCGTTTTCTAAATAACAGGTGCAGTTCACATGGTAGAAGCGGATGTTCTCCTCCGTGGTGGCAGGGGAGGAGATGGAGACCCAGTGATGGCTCACCCCCCTGAAACAGACAGCGACATCACGCTGCAGGAGTGGCTGCAGGAGATGGTTGGCACAGATAAGGGCATTAAGCTGGATTTTAAGAGGTACTTTGAGACAAAACATTTGCATATACTTCACATTCTTAGCAGTTAACAATTTTATAAATAATGCTAGCTGTCTACTGGTGATCGTTAAACTAACCTTTTTCTTAGTGTGCATTTCAGAGCTTATGCATTCCTTACTGTACAGTAAACTTAGTGAATCGTAGTCAGTTTTACTGAATACATTAAAAGAATAAAAACTTTACACGTTTTGAACCACAAATAATTGTTTCATATTCAGTGAACTCATTACTGAGTTGCAACTAAACAAAGTTTTACTGCTGGGAAAGCTGAAATAAAAGTGCTTATCTGGAAAGCTTCTTTCAGTTTTCTGCTTGAGCTAAGGAGCCAGGAAGGAGAAGGACTGAAAACCCCATGAGATTGCTTTGACAAGTTTGAAATGGGGTTCAATATGAACCTGTGATTTTTAGACAATCTTTGCTTTTCCTGGTTTTAGCTTTCTCCGAATATGTGTCAGATTTTACCACATATAGAGAATGCAGCTGTACATCAAAACCAGCTTTGTCACTGCATAGGTATCCCGTAGAAATGCACTAATTGCTGGGTGGCTATAAAATGTAATTTTTACCTTGTCTTGTGTGATGTAATCACTGTTTTCATGTCAAAGATCACAGGAACACAAGGACAGTGGGCATGCTAAATCCTCTTACTGATTCTCCATAGATTCTCCATATCTTTGCTCAGACAGAGAGAACAGAGGTTTCATTTTTTCAGTTCTAATGATTGCTTCAATGCATTTAAAAACAGATGCCTCTTATTTTTTTCCACAAGGAATTTCCAGCCAAGTGCTGATCTTAAAAAGCTTTTAAAATTATATTGCACAATGAAAGTCTGGTTAATAAAAGCATTTCAAATTTACAAGCCCACAGTGCAGCTATATTTGTGTGAATGACACAGAATCTGATCTTCTTTTGGATTCTTATTCTTTGGTTACTGTTGCTGAAGTTTTGAAGATTACTTTAACAGTGCTTAAGAAGAAATACTTTCTGTATTCCTACCCTGTGAGCGTGATTGATCACATAATCACATTTCCTGCTGGAATTAATGCATTCTGCAAAAGGGCTTCGGAGTCGCACTTCAAAAAATGCCACAATCATTTCAAAAAAGCCTTGAAAGTGGAGTCAACAGTATGTTTGAATTTTCTCAGTGCTTCGCAATAGAAGAGTCCTGTCTGGGTTTCTTTGTTCTATTTTCAAGAGATGCTTCTTTGTTTTTGTGCTCTTTACGTTATTGTGTACTTCATTGAAGAAATGAAGGCATTTGAGTGACTGACATTCACCTGTCTGCTAGTTCTGGGAACAAGTGAAGTGTTCTGGCTTCAGAGCGTGTTAGAAATTGGTTCGAAACCAGCG